CATATGTTTGTGCAAATGTACATTTTAAGTACTTATGACTTTATTATATCCTACTTTAGGGACCTATAAAAAAAAGTAGCCAAAAGTCCTTAAACAAAAAAAAAAATATATATATATTAAAAATATGTAACCGCAAAAATTTCATTATAAAAAGAATGCGAACTGCAGGAGAGAGAAAAATATGATACGGAGGTGTAAAATATAAAACGGAATAAGGAACTTATTAAATCATATCTCGTTTTTTGTTTAACCTTCATTAAGCGTTAAATTCATTTTTATTATGCAAATGAATGTAACCCTTATTTGATTTAACTTGTAAAGCCATTTTGAATATTAAATTACTATACTCGGGTACTTTTAACCTTTATTCTTTTATTCCTTTATATATATAAAAAGAAATGTTATTTATTATCATAACGTTGCTTAGTATCGTATATTTTCATTTGCTTTTAGTTCCACCTGTTGATTGATGGGCATAAAAATGAGGGGTAAAAGCCATTACATGCTTTTACTGCAGCTGCTGGTGATGTTGGCCACAACAACAAACTGTTGGGGCCAACGTTCACCCTTTTCTTTGCAAGCCGCTGTTGATGAACTACATCGCCAAGAGTACCCATTGAATGCCCCGCCTGTTCAACAGCCTCATTTTATGGCTGGAGCTTTTGGCAGCTCCCCTGATCAAGACTATTGGGAAGAAGGTAAGTTTGTGCAAATGTTGCTTGCTTTTCTATACACAATTGTTTTTTATGCCTGTCATGCCATCTTCGCCAGGGTCATGTTTTCTATTAATCTTGTTATTTGCGCTTTTAAGCAGATTGTGGTTTTATTACATTTTTGTTTGTTTCTAGTTGTTTGTCTAAAATCACTTAATTCAAACTAACGCACAGCCATTCATTACCACCATCCTTACCCCTACCTCTTCTACCCTTCTATCAATCAATTTTACCCACTTATCAAATGCATGCCCCATTAAAACCAAAAGTGGAAAAAACACACACACAAAATGTTTATTAAAAATAACTATGACCACAAACATCAGAAACAGCCAAAAAAACACTTTTCCTTTTTTTTTTGTTCTTCTCCTCCCTTTCCCCCCACAGACGCGGCATACACTTACAACTCGAAAAAACCACGAACTCGTTTAAATAAACAACTCGCCAAATATTTGGAACGTGAAGCGTATGACGCTGATCATGGCGGTTTGTCACTAGGACCTTTTGGTGGCTACGAATTTGATGAGGATAGTAATAAACTTATTATTCCAAAATATCAGGATGATCGTAAACGTTCTTCTGTATTTAGGGAACGTAGTAACATTTACGGTAAGTCATTTAAACAAAGGTTAACCAAGGTGGATCCATCGTTACTGCTTCTCGGCCTAACAAATTAAGAAATATTTTAGTACTTACAATATTTTTTTAATACTAATTAATAAATATTGATTTTTTTAATTTTAAATTTCAGATGATATGCCTGCCTCCCTATTCCGCGAACGTGAAACACAAGATATGCCCGATCACTCTGAATTAACTGATCAGTTTTTGCGTGAAATTGAAAAGGCCCAAGAGCATGAACGTCAAGATCGTTATAAAGAAGCTTTGCGCAATCTTTGGGAAAAATATCAACAACAGGAGAATCAAATAGAGGGTGATATCTATGAGGAACAGAAGAAACGTATGCGTATGCCTCCTTATTATATGTTAATGCAAAGAAAACGCTCTTATCCAGTGTTGCCCTGGTTACCCTACAATGCTGATCGTAAGAAACGTTTTCCCGTCTCGAAACGTTCCACTACACACATGAACAACGATAGTCCAGCTTTAAGTAATTTGGAGAAAACGGATGAAAACGTAGAAAAAGAGTTGAGCGAATTGTTTGGCACTGCTACAGATGAAAAGAAAAAGAGATCAATTGATAACAGCCACTCCAAAGCAACCACCACACATGCTCCCGAATCGGAGACAGCCACCACAACTGACATGCGTTTGGAAGTGGGAAACTCTCCTAAAAATAACAATACCGAAGAAAATGTAAAACGATCAGCAGTTAATACCCAACACGAGGCAGATCATCATCAACATGCCGGACACAGCTTAAAAGAACATAAACATGGCAAACGCAGTAATCACGGAACATCGCACGAAAGCCATGAAGACGAGGGAGAAGAAGAGGAAGAAGATTCCGATGAGGAACATGACAGCGAAGAGGAGGAAGAAGAACATGAGCATGAACACGATCACGATCACGAAGAACATGAAGATGACGAGGAAGAAGCAAAACGTAAAAAGAAACGTAATGCCACCACCTCCAAAAAGAAGCGTAATGTAGAGACTTTGAGGCGTACCATGGATGATTTCAATATAATGCGCAGTAAGAAGTCCATCGATTGGAGTAAATATTTTGGACTCGATCGTAAAAAGAAAGCCATGCCTGTGGTCAATGACAATAAAGAGTGAGTATAAGTAGTATGATGATGAATGAAATTAAGAAACGTTTTATAAAATATTTTACACTTGCAGTGATGAAATGAAAAAGAGAAATGCTGATGAAGATACTTCCGTGGAAGATATTAATAAGAAGAAAAAACGTAAATTAGATCCTGCCAAATTGGACAATATGAATAAGAAATTGCAAGCAATTGAAGATTTTATTATAAATGAGACCATTAAATATACTGGAGCACATGAAGGTAAGAAAATAACATAGAACCAATATTAAAGTGTCTTTTCAGTCTCATTATTTATCTGGATATATTTTATCGTAAATTTAAATTGACAGTTTTCATACAAAAATTATTCTAACCGGAAGAATATCTACCGGTTAAAATTAAGTCCCAACAAAATGCTCCCTTCTTAGTTTTTAATTTAAATACAGTCCAAGAACATTTTTAATAGAAAAAAATTAACCTAAAGTTATAAATATAATTCATATTCTAGGTATTGATAACCCCGAAGAGATACAACGTCTTAAGGATCGTGTGCTATCACGACTTGCCACCGCCTATAGTTTGGAGAAAATGCGACGAGCTTTGGAAAAGCTACGTCAATCTGTAGACAACGAAAACCATTTAATGCGCAACATTATCGATCCTGAAGCGGAAAACTCCCTGGAGAATAATTCTCTAGAGGCAGTAAAGAAAGATAAGTCACCTGCTAAAGCGCAAAGTTTAAAAAGTGAAGACGCAGAAGAGGATGCCATGAAAAAGAAAATGAAAAAGAGCAATGGTTTTATGCGTTATCCCGATGTGGCAAATGAATTTGGAGAATTTGAAGATACTCTACAGAGTCCCAATCGTTATGAGACCCTAAATGATGCCTATTTGGGTAATAAGAATTATATATTGGGCACCAATCAGTGTCCCATAATTGAGGTAAGCATGAAGTATGTTTATACTTTTCTTTATAAATTATAAAAAATATTTTTTAGTCAATGGCTGAACGTTGCCGTGGTGTGGATCTCTTAAGTGGTGATGTAAACCAAGAACTCTTACCTCTTTGTGGAGTTCATCAACTTTGTTATTTATGTGTAAGTTTTTAAGCAAAACTATTCCTTACTTATTGGAATCATTAAACTAATTAAAAAATGTTCTTGTATTTCAGGGTACTTCTCAAATTGCTTGTGATTATCAGTACCTATCGGAAGCCGATGCTGTGTGCGGTAATAATAACAACGAATGTCAGGCTGCTGCTAGATCCGTCTTAATGATTTTACGTGGTACTCCCGGACCACAATTAGGACCACGTGAATGCATTAAAAATTCCTGTTTATACAGTGCAATGCGTGAAATAGGCCTCTAAACTTAAAAACAAAAGCCTCCCCAAGCAGGTTGTTGTTTTTATGCTTTTTGCCCAAAATAATAATTTTCATAAAATCTCAGTGTATCTTTTAGATTTAAGTACAAGAGGAAAAGAAAGAAAGCTTATTAAAAGCAACATTTAAAGGAGATCAAACTTATATATACACACACATATAGTAACTATATAAAAAAATAATAAATCAAAATAATATTTAATAGTAATAATGATCATAATTTAACATATACTCTTTAAAAACTGTATGTAATTTATAAATCCCCTCCAAAATTCAAACCTTTTTCCCAAAAACCTCTCCCAAAAAATCAAATACATACTTATATACATGTTATTTATATTTTAATGTAATTAATTATTACTTTATATTAAAAAAATATGAAATTTAAAGTTTCAAATGTTGAAAATTTGTATATTTCAAAAATACAAGAATAAGTGTAACAAAAGTGTGGTTAAAAACGAGCGACATTATATTTCAAACATACATACAGTTTATGTTTAAGAAAAATCAGAAATAATATATGTTTTTAAACCCAAAACAAAAAAATAAAAACCCATATTTAAATGTATTTATTAAATGTGAGTATTATATACAATAAATGAATAATAAACGAAAATATATTTAACAAGTTATGTTGCACCGATTTAAATATTTAATATAATAAAGGCAGCTAGCTAAATAACATAAATTATATAAAAATCATTTTGTTTTTTTTTTTAATATTGTTAAAAAACAAGAATTCTACAAAAAATATGATTTAAAATAGTTTGTTGGGGCTTTTTATAAAATTGAAAAAGTACCGTTAGCTACAATTTAAACATTTTTGCAAAATGGCAACACTTTCGAGTTAAATTTATCGTTTACAGAAAAAAATATAATTTTACCATCACTATTTATTCTTGCATCAACACAAATTTGGCAAAGTAATGAATTACATCAAATATATCACTTACCACAAAAATTTCATATTTAAAACAAAGCTTTTTACTTTAATATTCGAAATAACTCATCTTTTTTTTTAAAATATTGATGAAAAACATAATTTTCTCAACTTTTAAGGAGCAATTCACAAACACCACCATTTAGCGCTTTTTTAACAAACACAACTGCCAGATTAGCAAAATTACACGCTGTAATATGGCAGCCTTGTAAACAATTTGACATTTACTTATTTATCGATAACTTTATTTTGTAACAAATTGTCATCTCTTGCCAGATTTTCTTACTACGTCAGATTTTATATGGACAATAAAAATATTAATAGAGAATAAAATATATTTGTAGTAATAAAATAATTATAAAATAAAAACGAGCGAACGACGTTAACTAATTAATTACATAAACGAAAACATTTGTAAGAAAAAACTAAATAAACTACGTGTCTTTGAGTGACATCAGCCAACAAAGAAAAACAATCAGCAGCATCCCACAATTACAACAACAGTTGTCGCAAGTCACAATAAGACCTTAATAATGGAGGAAGTTGAAGTAGAGATGTCTGGGGATATGAATGTGCCCAAAACTGAGCCTAAAGCACAATTTGATTTTAGTTCCTTTACTAAGTTTCAAAAAATTCCCACACCCATGGAATTGATACAACTAACACGCCAATGCATCAGACCCTGGTCTGAGTTTTTGAATACAAATAACTTTAAAACAGCCGCTAGTATGCCACGTTTGACTAGCCGTTTTGTTAGGAATTTGGATTATTTTAAAAGCAATTATATTTTTGTGTTCATTGTCCTGATGATTTATTGCCTGTAAGTAGTTTATCAGTAACATAAGAAAATTCTTATTAACATGTTTTTTTTTTTTTTTTTTTTTTTGTAGCATCACTTCTCCTTTAATCCTGTTTGTCTTAGCCGGTGTGGCCTATGCCAGTCATAGGGTCAGAAAAGCTGAAACCCCCGTCAGTGTGTTTGGTCATCAATTGTCCACAGCTCATCAAATAATGGCTCTTAATGTGGCTTCTGTACCCATACTCTTCCTTGTTGGGGCAGGTTCCGCATTATTTTGGACTTTGGGTGTGTAGCATTGGATTTATTGTTGTAAATAATGTCTTAATTGTTATTTAATTTATTGCAGGTGCTTCCTGTTTTGTTATTTCCCTGCATGCCATCTTTTATAACATAGATGCTATTGTAACAGAAGAAACGGAGGGATTCTTATCGGAAATTGTTTAAACAACTAAATCTCAACTAAATCTATTAACCAAACGGGGGCCTTATTTTCGAAACTGAAGCAGATTAATTTGTTTATTTCACTTGATTTTCTTTATTTAGAAATAACTTCACTGTTATATTTTATATATTTATGTATAGATGTTGTATTGCTTTAATTTAAAAGATATTTTATAGTTATTTTACTAAACCAGAGCTTTGAGTTCTACAGATATGTGTATGTCACTCAAATCTCCAATTTTTTAACACTGTAATAGTAAATGGTAAGTAATCTTTACAAAAGTTACATTTAAATAAAATGGAAAGAAAAAACTAATTAATTGCATTTCTTTTGTTTTTCTAATACTTTACTAGACTTTATTTTCCAGCAGTTTAAAAACAAAAATTTGAATTTATTTTCTAAATAAATTTATTTTGTTGTTTGTTTTACATACGTAAACGTTATAAGCAGAAAAGTTTAAACATAGTTTAGAGAGGAAAAATTGTTTGCAAAAATCACGTACAAAAAAAGTAAGACTAAAAACGAATTAAAAAAATAATTCATTTTTATTGTATTACAATGAAAAACATAAATAAAATGTTTAATTTACAACGAATTCTTTCTCCCAAATCGTTATCTTTCAATTTCTTGTTTCTTTCGCTTTTATTAACTTAAATTTAGTCACATTAAGAGAAATAAAGAAATGCAGACATATGTGTTTATGATGTTGCTGCTGCACCAGATGATGATGCCGACGAGGGGTTCTTAGCAATACGCTGGGCGTAGAGACGTCTTAACAAACGGTTGCCGCAAAGGAATGTGAAAATGGCAATTGGTATGAGTAGACGCAATGTTTCGAACATGTTTAATTTCAACCAAAAGACAGTAAACAGTACTAAAATGCCACCAAAACCAAGATGGAAACCAATGGTACTGGGATGGAAAGTAAAATTGTCAATGTTGATGCCCAATTTTGACCAGAACACCAACAATAAAACCAAAGGAGTCAAACAGAGACCGGTGAAAACATCAGAAACTATGCGAGAAGGACGCTTATCGGGCACACGGAATTGATGCTCAATTTCGGGTAAAGGAGAACGTACGGGTTGTTTTTTAGCACCTGTGTGGTAAACACAAAAATTAGATTTCATTTTTTTAAAGGAGCATTTAAAAGCATTCTTACCTCCTACAGGGTTATTAGCAGGGAATTTGATTTCGATTTCTGCTACTAGCCATTGGAACGAGTTGGATATGGAGGAATCTCCCACAATTAAATACATTTCATAGAGACCACTTCTGTATTTGAAATCACCAGCTCTAGCTCCAACATCCATATCAAATTTATAGGCCTTGCTGCTGTCCTGTTCCGCTACATAAATGATTTCTTCATCATTTTCCTTGTTGTAGAAGCGTACAAAGGCTTGGTGTACAGTAATGGGCTAAAGGAAACAGTAATTAATTAATAAATAATAAAAAGTGGCAAGATTTGGATTTGAACAAAGGTTCCTACTTATAAATATCAAGATTTGGATTGGAGCACAAGTTTCTACTAAAGGCCTGCACAAGACAACAATAATGCGACAAATTGCTAAAAAATTTCGTGTGCTTATGATGACGCACACGATATTTTTTTTAACAAATTGTTGTATTATTGTTGTCTTGTGCAGGCCTTTAGTTCCTACGTAATAAGAATGGATTTGAAAGATTTCAAATGTAAATATGTATATATTTAAGATCTTTCAAAAAATATAAAATGTATATGATAAAATTCCATAATGAATAAATCAATCACACTTACCTTAGTAGCTTGACTTTCTTCAACCAATGTGGTCTTCAATAGAACTTTCTGTGTATTATCGGCAGATAATTGTTCCTTCAATTTATTGGGATAGGCCACATTTTGTTTTTTCACCGCAGAACTAGCATCCAATTCACCAACGCCAATTTCCAACTGTTGTACCTTAACTTTGCCCAGAACCTTGAAATTCAATTTTTGAGTGTAAGAAGAGTCAACTGAAATATCAGCAACATAAAGAGCACGAGCAGGTTTGTATGAAGAAAGATCAGCTTCATAAGTTGTTTTATCAGATGACTTTGAAGTGAAAGACACCTTTTCGGCCAAAACGGAATTATCCTTCTTCAAAGAGATCTTGGCGAAAACTATTTGAGGTGCAGGCGAGAGAGGTTTGCCCAGGAGATCAACTACGGCCACTGTAAGGCGTGGTGAATCAGCTATCAATTGGCCATTGCCAATTAATTGAACGCAAATGGGAGCAATCTTGTTGGAGGAGGTGGAAAGCGTTTTCAAGGCTTCAATTAGTACATGAGCACCTTTGGCAGTTTGTACGGAACGTCTAGAAAGGAAATAGCTAGCAAATTTGACAGTTTGTTCGGGGCTTACGGGTAAAGCCTTGTCAAAAGTTTTGGCTGTTTTAAAGGCACCATTTATAATCAAAGCGGTAATACTTAAGCCACCCTCGAATTGCAACAATTTGCCATCAACCTCATCAGCTTGTACTATGGCATCTTCAATGCGATCAGCAATAAAGGCAGCCGAAGGTCCCAATTCAGTGGCCACACTGAAAGCATAACCCAAGTTGGAAAGGGTATCATCCTTTTTCAAAAGTTCTTGCAAGTTTTTAACAATTTTTGCTACAGTGGCTTCTTCTATTTGCACACCGAGATATTTATGGGTAGCCACACGGTAAAAGATTTCCTGAGATGAAGCAGCTGGTGTCTTGAAGGCGGCATAAATTTTGGACAATTGTTCGCCGGGTAATTTTTCAGTGCATTTTAAAATCCTGCTGGCGCCCACCAAGTAAAAGTCTTTTTCAAATTCCTTTAAATGGAATAAAAAGTTTGATATTAACAACTAACTTTTTAGGGTTTTGCAGTATTTACTTACATTCAATTTAGAGTCCTCGTGCAATTTATTGAGCTTTTGACATAATTGTTTTTTCTCATCGGCGCTAGTGGGTTCAATATTTAGCACAGCATAATAGATGGATTGTAAATCATTGGACGCTAATGCTGAGACAAATACCGATTGAAAACGCTGTAAATCTTGTGCAGTTAAATGGTTGTCCACGGTACGAGCAGCTTGGCTGGTGGATAAACTTAAACTCAAGCTAATGGCCACTAAAAGTGACAAAACTGCAAAATAATATTAATAAACAATTAATAAGAATTTTGCTGCACTCAAGTGTGACAAAAAATATTTTTTCGTTTTCCTTATAAAGTGACGCCTTTTTTTCAATAAAACACACCGGCATTTTTTCACTGTATTGTGTTGGCCGGCTTTTTATTTTTGTTTATCAAATGTTTTCATCTTTCTTCATTTACACTTACCTAATTTATTCATTTTTATTTAATACTTTTATTAATCGTTGGAATATTATTAGTTTTACTAAATTTATTTAAGTGAAATTAAGAAAATATATAGAATTTCTTAATTTTTCACCACAAAAAGTTCTTTTTCAGCGGTCGCAATATGACAGACACGTCAGCGGCTGTTAGAAATGCCAGATTGCAAAATATTTTTTTATATTAAGGGAATTATTAAATTAATACCTGGTTATTGGTTAAAAATTTTGGGTTTGTACAAAATTTTATAAAGACTAAGATTTATTTTCAATACATATTAGTTAAAAAGTAATTTCTATTAGTTTTTATTATATTTTAAAGCTATGAAAACAAAAAATCGTTTAGATTTATTAAGGTATTCATTGCAAAATCTGGCCACTTGAAAAGCTGTGTTTATTATTACAACTGCTAAAAACATTCACTTTGAAGTGTTAACATTTATTATGTTATAAAGATATTGGCAACCTTGTTTTGATTAACGGTACTTTGTTGTCATTAAAGCAAATGCATTTTTTTCTGCGAAGTAGTGCATTTTTTCGGTAAAGTGTTTTTAATAAATAATAAAGTGTTTTTAAATTAAAATGTTGTGATTTAAAATAAATCAATAAGTTAAATGTTGTTATCTAAATGTGTAGTGTATAACTTGTGATTGTTTAAAAACTACAAACAAATTTGTATTTCCAGTCGCAAATGGCGATCGTGTGGTAATTGTAATGTAATTTTTGTCTTTAATCTTTATTAGTTGTTAAAATATGAAATAATATATAAAATTATGTTAAATTAAAGAAATATAATATTGTCTGTGTATTTTCGTTGCTTGTTCGGCATTGTTTCTAATAATTGTTGACATTGCAAATTTGGCCAAATTAGCCTGGACTTCCGCCATGATTTTTTTGTGTAAACCCGCCTGCCACTTAATACATACATACACACATTTGCTTGCAGTTAAGAAAGGGAAGACTTCATTTGATTTACATAGGTAAGTGTGATTTATTTTTAATTATCTTTTCAAAGGTGTTAAATTTCTATCGGCTAATGATGTATTTTATTTTCTTGAAAACATGGAAACATCTTATTTAAGAGAATTGAATGGAGAAAACATATAAATAATGAAACTAAACATATGTAAAATCCACAATTTTCTGTTAACTTATTTATCATTGGAATCTTGTTTAAACTAAATGATTGAACGCCATTCATGTACCCATACGTTATATTTTTAGGATTTAAAATAAATTCTATGATCAAAAATACTGAATCATTTACTTGAACCTCTGATTTAAAAGTTTTACAGTAAAACTAAGGTCTGAATTTATTATTAAATTACTCATCTAAGAGTTTCTAGCCTGCAGAGAAGCACACGTGGGTCTTTTCGGCCCTTATGATAAATTTTGAAATACATATAATTTATTCATGAAAATTAAATGTATGTAGTATTACAAATGCAATTTTTTTGCAAAAAAAAAAAAAACAACTTATAACTAAAAATTTGATTAACAGGAGGATTTTTACTGAATATTAAATTTTTTTAAATACGAATTAGTTTTTTTAAAAAATTCAATTTTGACAAAAACAATTTATTATAATGTCTGTTCCCGTACTCGTCAGTTTTGCAGGTTTTAGTCAGAAATAGTCAGAAAAACAACAAAATACATTGAAATTTTTGTACGGGAACGACTTATTGTAAAAACTTGCAACCCAAACGAGTACAATCAAAACTCAAAAAGTTAATTTTCAACCAAACTGTTCAATTTGATCTTCAACGGGACGTGTTATAGAATAACGCTTTTTGAAATCTTTTGTTATATCGCCCGTATGATTCCAGAGTGTAATGGCAGTAGTACAATATAAAGGATAACGATTCATAACAGCTTCCTTGGCAGCCTCATCCACAGGAGGCATGTCTTTACAGAACTCCTCATAGTATTCGCTATTCGATTTGTCAATTTGAGGATTCATTAAACGTTCATTGTGGCGTATATACTCATCGTAAAGTTCCTGCCAAAGAAATTGCTCAAAACGGCGACTACGTGTGGCTACAAATATTACAATAAGCTCATATATTAGTACTTGTATGTATGTTGTTGGCATAGCAAATATATGTATGTTTTTACCTGTGGGTTTTTTCAGTTTAGGACTTTTATAATTGTCCTTCATTTCACTAAAAATATTGCGTTCGCACATTATTCTTTATAAATAGACAATATAGAAATAACATTTGCTAAATATGTTTTTCAAATAAATATAAAAATTTCCTTTGTAAAACTATTGCCATGTAAAAGTTTATTTATTAATTTCTAATACTACCATGGTAATAAATATTCGTTTCTAACTATTAATTATCGGTTGTCGTAGTTGCAGTCGCATTCGTTTGATTTTGTTTTGCGTTCTCGTCTTCCACCAAAAGTATAACATCTTTTGGTTTTAAAATAAAATAATAGACAATTATAGTGGCCACGAATAATATACCACTATAGATGATGCCCTCGAATATGAAGCCAAACCACCAAGATTCAAATTCTTCTCGAGCGTACCATATCATGGTCATGGTTAGATTTTCAGCCATCGAAAGCAAAAAATAGCATACAAACCAGACGCGTATATGCTTGAATTTTACCCGAAATTCAAGCAAAACATAAATATAAACATAGGCGAGCAAAAAGTAAAATATGGTTCTGTTTAGTTTTCCTTGGAAACGTGATTCCAAATACAAGGCAGCCAACATGATGAGATAATGTACGAACATTATGATAAGAAAGGCTTTTGGAAAGAAAACGCAAAAAGCTGACAGTGAAAGCATACGCATAACAACAAATGCTATCCAACCGAAAAATGCTATAGATTTGGCAGCAAAGTCATCCTGTTGTATACCATTTACCACTTTTGTGGGGCGTGGCAAGAAAAAGTCCACTACATCTTGTGGCGACTGAGGTGGCGTTTTGCCGGGATTATTGGAATCTTCTACTCGTTTAATGAGCATTTTAGGTGGTCTAGGTACATTTTCCTTAATATAAAGCTGAGCATTTATAAGTAACATGTCTTTAAAAGTTTCCAGCTGGGAAAATGCTCTAGAACGTCTTTTATTGGTCTCATTGCTACTTTGTGTAGAGGTTTGGCTTCTTAATTGTGGACCATCAGTTATATCATCAAATCTAGTTGATTTTGGTGGTAAGGGTGGTGGAGTATTTGGCACTTGATCAAATTCCTCTAGGTTGGTTGGGATTTCTTCAGAATTTAACTTCAATAAAGGTTTGGTTTTAATTTTATCGTCATCTGTTAGATGGGTTGCCAATAAAGCAGTTTGCTCATCACCCGCATCATTGTCCAACTCATCATAGCCATGCACCTGTACACTATGGCTTATAGGTTCTGAGACTTGAACTAAACTTTCTTGACTGTCAGCATTATTTTGACTGCTGCCTTGTATGGTAGGATTATCTGCATTATTTTTTTGATTTCGGGCTTTAAAATTTTCCATAATTTTTTCCGATTCTGGAAATTTGTTAAGAGTACGTTCCGAATCTCGTTTCTTACGTAAACACTCCTCTTGCAAACATTTATTTTTCTGTAGTTTTAAACGACTCTCTTGTTTTTGTTCGTCCGTTGACCAGGGATAATGGCGTCCTACTTGTCGTTGACTCTCGAAACGTTGATAGGTTGCGGTAATTGAGGCCAAATCTATGGCCGAGAATACTAAACTGATTGCTTGAACATTTGCTGCAATAATAAAGCATGTTTTGAATTCATTACGTTCTTTAAATTAATGCAACTTACTGGTTTGAAAGTTTCTAAATAGATCTTGTGTTAACATATGAAAAAGCTGGAGTATTATTTGAGGTGCCGACTGGCCATAAGCCTGCACTAAACGATATAGCTCACATGTTGAGCATTCTTCAGCCTTTTCTAAACACTCCATACGTGCCTCGTCATCATCATCGTGAAATAAGGCTTCTATAGACCAAAATACAAGCTTTGCAGAGCTGTAACGGTTCAGAAGATTGTAAAAAAAATTAACTTGTTCTGAATATTTCGAAGCAAAGTTCCTCATTCCTAATCAAAAAATCAATTACTAGACTTCAATAAAGATAATGCCAACCATAATAATATTTATAACTAATAATATGTATAAACAGTATTACATTAAGTTTAATATTTCTCGTGCAGCCCTCGTATAATACATAAAAAACATCGATTTCCGTTGTAAGTGATAAATGATGAATATAATACGAGCCAAGTTAATGGGTATTTAATATATTTGTTATCTTTTCTTGAGGGCAACAATGGAAATTGCCCTTCAAACTTACCGATAAATCACAAAAAATGGAAACAAAACCATCTGCAAAAGTTGCATACAAACAAATTTCACTCGAGTACCATTTTGTTTTGGTTTAATCCATTGAGCTTTAGAACTTAAAACTAAAACACAGGTCACGACAGGTGGTACCAATATCAAGCTTAGAGTGCCCCAACCAAAATCCGATTGATGTGATTTAAAATGTTGATAACTCACAGCACAATCCGCTACAATTTGCACAATATAAACAAGTAACTCGAGCACGTTTGGTATGATATACGAAACATAAATGCGGGTACGCGATCTGATTGTTAAGCCTAAAATATGATGTGGTGGACTACAGGCATGTTCTGGGTCCATAATGCCTTTAGGTTTACTTAAAAATTAAAATCTTTTTTCACTTTTATTATTTTCTTTTCACTATACCGTTTTAAATGCCATGTTAAATTTGCGAAATTCTAAAAAGAACTAATTTACTACCAACATGAGTCAGTTGTGAAAAGCACACCTTATGGAGGTAATACATTTTTTAGTCTCTCTCATTACCACAACTGATAAGATAATAAAGTACCTGTTCGAAGGTATTATTTACAAAGTTATTTGTTTATATTTCTTGAGTTTTTGTTTATATATTTTTTCATACACTTTTTTGTTTATCTCATAATTATGTTTTTGCATTCGTCATGAATTGCTTTTTATAAAAATTCACTTTTCTACAGTGTTGACCTATTAGAAAACAATTTATCTTTCCGCAAATCAAGGCAAAATGATTATGAGAAGTCAAATAAGTTTCATTAAGTTTGGATTTAGTTTTTATTGCATTTAATATTTGAAATTTGTTAGACTTAATACTATTTCATCCAGTGGGAACGTTTAAAGGGGTTATTTTCCAAAACAACAAATGAATCGTGTATATTTTCGGAATTATAGGCATCTTTACGCTGTGTCATTGTGTACTTGGGATTTCCCTCAATTATCGAAGTGTTTGCACGACAATTTTCAGCATTCTTTAAAACTGACCCAGTAGCACGTCGTCCAAATTTGGGTGTCTTTTGTTGTTTGTATTGCTGTCCGATGTTTTCCAGGCCTGGTGAAGAAGATTGAGGAGACTCCAAAATCAGTGGTCGGCGTTGACGATTTAGGGCAGTGTTGGTTTTTTGATATTGCGGTGAAACCGATTTGCGATGAAATTTCTTACCATCTTTAGGCATTGGAGTTTCTATAATGGCTTTTTGTTTGGGCGATCTTTCGCGTATTTGGTAATTATAACAGGCTCTACGGTATTCGGGTGTTATTGTAATATCAGTTTCCGGTTCTACAATACTCGGTGTTGAGTTCGAAGCTCCTTCATATTTGCGTGGTGAAACAGAAGATCGATTGCGGGAAGAGTTTGTAGTAGTGGTGGTATTAGAGGTGGGCAAACGGAAAGTGGAAGTGGGTTTTGGTACTATTGGTCTAGAGCGCGGAAAGTTTAAGTAGGTATTTCTATATTCTGGATTAAATTCGAGTTTTCCTTTCAAATGCAGATAAGGTTCACGGCATTTACCCTTTTCGGGCAATTGTTTAACTTGGGGATCACGGAAGCTCTCAAAATATTCTGGCACATCTTTTGAAAAATCTCCATTTGGTCTTAAATGATCTTCGGTTTTCAAAGATTTCTCTTTTACCATCTCTTTGGGTAAATCGTGGAATTTTTCGCGATACTCCGGCATAGTTTTGGAATTCTCATTGGGATTTATTTGAATTTCTGAACCCGACATGAGTAAATTATCACTCTTTATAATGGGCATGGGCTTTGAATAACTGGCATACATCTTAAAACTGTCTTGATACTCGGGTATGGTATGAAAATCACCCTGCATTTTAATGTGACTCATTTGAGGTATAGAGTGAGCCTTTTCAATGAGTTGTGGCACAAATTGCCTTTGATATTCGGAGGGTGTAACATTAAAGTGGCTTTCATCAGTGATGGCTCTTCTTTGCAAATGACACTCTTGTTGCAAATCACTGGCCTTTTCGCGTTTCACTTTATCTTCATTTACTTTTTGAATTAATTCCACATCAACCGAAGACTTTTCCAACGTTTTATTTGTTTTAACAGGAGATTGTAAACTGAACATTTCTCTGGGTAAAATCTTGGTGGCACGATCTACCATGGGATACATAACATAGGATGAACGATATTCAGGCTCCATATCAAAACCACCAGTAAAATGTAAACTTTCAGGTTTTTTCATAGGATATGAACGAGAGCTAATATGATGTGAAAAATATAAAAGAAGCCATAATGTTAAAATGGTACATGTATTTAACGTCAAGTTACCTTTTATAGTCTTCTGGTGTAAACCACAGATAACGATCCTGATGTTCCGATCTATTCAAGGGCATTAAACCTTCCAAACGCAAAGAGGTGGCTTTTCTTAGCGACAGCGTTCTAAGCGATGGTGCCAAATCAAGATAACTTCTTCTATATTCCGACTTTAAAGGACTAAAAGGAAGCACTAAATCATTCTTTAAATCCGTCAAACAAATATTACTTTTTGTTAAATGTTCTGGTGGTTTTCGTCTTCTATAAAATTTCAATTCATCTACTGTGATATACTCGTGCGGATGTTTAATAACAAAACGATCTAAATGTTTCAGAGATGCTGGCAAATCCGGCTCGGAAAACGACAAACGATCACTGTCAAAGTTGAATCTGTAATAAAAACAATAAGAAAAAAGAAAATAAATTTTTACGAAGTTAAGTTGTGTTACCACGACCACGTCTAACTTTTCCTAAAGTTCAAGAACAACTAACAAATAATTTATTAACAAACGTTACTAACGCTTTCTTCACTTTAAGTTCTTCAACATTTCTTGCCATTTTTCTACAAGTAACAAATCACATAGTAATACATACATAATACATTATTAGTTGTATTCCCTTCATTATAAAGGAATTTTTTGCATGCTTTCCTATAATGTAAATTCATTTAGGAACTTTCAAAATGAAAGACGGCAAACAGACAGACAGCCATGTCGACATGCCTTCATTCATTCATCCATCCATATTTAGTATTAGGTACACATAATAACATGTTGGCTTAGTAATCTAAGTACCTATGAACCTATATTTATACATATGTATGTATGTATATTGGTAGTACATGGTTTTAGTACATATTTTCAACTTGGAACACTGCGTAATATTTGAATAAGATAGACTTTTAAAGGAATTTCAGAATAAGCAATATCTTTGCGTAGTTATATGTATTACTTTGTGAAGGGAGATATCACTTAACTAGAAGAAGACCCCTTTAATGCAATGTGTTAGAATTAGAACTGATTCTAGTCTCAAAGAACCAGTTCTCCGATAATTCCCTTTCCGCCAGATTTTTTGCACTACACAAACAACCTACAGTGTTTATATCATAGACGTTGCTCCTTCATCGGTATTACATTACAATAAATACTAGTAATGGAATTTTTTATTAGTTGTTGTGATGTTGCTTAGCACAACTTTGTAAACAATTTAAATTGTTATTGTGTCTACAAGTAAAATGTTCAACTTGTTTTTCGTCTTTTAATCGAATGCTAAACGACGTGTTATGATTTGTAGTTGTTTACTTCTCAGAATTGTTTATAGCAAAAAATGTATTTAGTTTTTTTTTAAATACCTTTAATGTCTACGTTTAAGGATATGCAAGGATATTTAACATAATTGTCTTGTCATAATAGTCTACAATATCAAGGTGCTTAATTGTACCTTATACACTACTGTAGTGGATAGGTTATTATTATGGATTTGAGCTGATGTTTGTAACTGATGTTTGTAACTGTAACTTTCTGAGTCGGTGATCGGCCCTTATTTCACCCTATTTCCTTTTAGGAATTAAGTCTCATCGAATCACTTACTGAGTCAACTAAGTCGGTTTTTAAGATAATTTGTTGAAAACTCATAAACACGTCTCTTTTAAGCAAAGGACGAAGCCTATTGGCCCATTATTTCACCTATAACCTAGCATTATACACTCCTAAATGATAATTCAAATTCTAGTTTTGATCGAGCCTCGTTTGACCCCATTCGGCTTTAGAAAATGAGTTGAATAATTGACATATAAACACTAGTTATCTGGTGTAGGGTATCATATGGACGGTTATCAATTTGAAAGATAGAAGATTGATCGGTTATTCCCACTTGTTTTTGGAACAAAATGGGATCCACATTTCAACAATGTCGATCCCATATCGAGTTTCGATTACAAATTAAAAGTTAAGGGTCATGATTGTGATTTCCTGTTATCGACAAGATCGTTCGAATACTGCAAGAACTTAAAGGCTAATAGTTATTATAGAGACGACTCCTCAAAATTCTTAAAAATCTACATAAAAGCAATCAAAAATAATTTTCCATTAAGCGCCTATTATTTTTACATGCATTAACATTAACCATGATTTACTCTAATTCTAAAAATATTACAAGCTTACATGGCTCATTAATTCAATTTGTTCGTTTTTTATTGAAATTTAATAAAACTGTTTTCAATTAATAACAATTTTTGACCTTGTATTCATTAGAAAAAAAAATTACTTCTGGTTTTACGATTTGCATGTCAAAACTAGCGATCCCAAAAATACATTTTCCATTTATAGTTTTATTTATTACTCCAGCTCTTGCGCTTAAAATGGACATAAACATAAGAAATCACTATAAATGAAATAAACAACTTTAAGAAACAAATCAAATTTCCTTGTTTTTACTCATTTTTACCACAAATAGAACGTAAGAAAATCCGCTTAATTAAAAATTCGCGTGGCACGCAATGAATATTGCAAAATGAAACCATTTTCATTTCTTATTTTATACATGTCCAAAGAAAAATCACCACAAATTAAATGGCTGTAATGACTTTATGATACCCTATTTAAGACAAGTCAACTTGTCATTGAATAAACTAGTTGCCACATCATGGCAATTACAAAATTTATTATTTAATCCAAAGTAAATAAATTCTGTCATTTTCTGTTTTTTTCAGTTCCACTTGATTGAATCTCCATTGAGCATTTCAATTTAGAGGTCTGTAGACAGTTTATTGTTTATACCAATTGTACAGTGTGTGTATCCTGTGCTTATAGGCTATATACAATAAAAGAAACAAACAATTCATCAGGCTTTTACTCCTCCTTCATGTATTAAAGAGAAAAAACATGGGTTGTTGTACTAGAAAAAAAAACCATTAGAAAAAACATTTCATGGTTGACCCCAAAGTAGTGGTAAAAAATAGAAAAGAGAAATAGGAAAAAAAGGTAGATGAAAGAAAGGATTTCAAACTTAGTTAGACTGTTTTTATTGTTCTTTATATGTATAGGTATTTTCATATCCAGGCAGTTTTAAGGGTCGTTTTTTGTTATTTACTTGTCTAGTCTAAAGTTAAGGAGAGTAATAGTTCCGGAAGTCATAATTATAAACCTATGATTTCGAAGCTAGCTGGTGTCACATATTTGCAAATCAATTTATAAAAATTCAAATATTTTTGTAGATGTGAACGTAATTTATAAATAAAAAGCTTTTTTTTTACAAAACCTAGAGTTAAACTTGTGCATTTTACAATTGGCCTTCAGGTATCAAAACTATTGAAATCATTTTGCTACTTACAAGTTTGCTAAAAAGGATCTGATATTGGTAAAATGAACTGCAGGGTGTTTTAAAAAAAATTTATAAAAGTATGTGTATGGTGGGCCTTTGGCATTGACATGTATTCTTTTTTAACCAGTTTCACTTATTTCTTTAGTAGATTTGTATAAAAATATCAAGGTCAACTTTTATATTTTTGTATAAAAAACATAAAGATTTAATTTGACATTGAACCAACTATAAATACTCGCTATCGTGGTTTCCTTTTGTAGTTATTTGCATTTGTTTAATTAGTTAGATTCAACAGGATAGAGTCATAGAAGATTTATTAGTCTGGAATGTTGATCTATATATACTACTACTAGTCTCTGTTCTATTGAGGGTTTTTGAGTACATCTTCTAGCTTAGTTTGCAGCTAGCCAGTTAGGGAGGAGAACGTGTGTTCCATACCCATCCAAGGCTATGGAAAGGGTGAGCACAACAGGCCCGATGTGTATTTTTTGGATCTGATGTTCTGACTATCTAAATATTTGTTTGATTAGCTGCTTTATCCAATTACTAAAGTTTCTTGGACGTAATTTTTGTCGCGTAACATATAATGTAACATTTATTTTAAAATTCAAAATTATAATTAATTAACAGAAGAATCAAACAGTTTAAAAATCATCAAAACCATATTCACTAACTTCCGCATAAGTTTGTATCACCTCCAATTCACCCAGCATTGTGTATAAGAAAAACAAAGTATACATCACAATACTGAATATGCCCACGGAGCGACGAACATAAAAATTAGTAGTCATGGACCACATCAAGGTGCAAAAGAGTATAATAACCATAAATATAAAACAATTTTCACCCAAAGGACCACCAGGTATCTGTCGACAAAGAAAAATTTAATAAATTTAACCAGAATATAAAAAAAAACCAACACATACATGCACATGACCAGTTTCACTTCTTATAGTTTTGATCACTAAAACCAGACCCAAACTGAGTAAAGTATCTAAAAGAGTAATATGTTTCAAAGTATAAAACCGGAAAAGGGTATGTGTAAAGGTACTTACTGAAAAAAGGGCCACCATAACAAGCCGCAAAGGCCATTTTCTGGTAACCATGAAGAGCTAAAGCGGCATTTGATATCAAATCTCCAACGCCATTGCCCCAAGCTAATAAAGTACAACCCAAAAACGAGTTACTACAATTCATTACCAAGCCCAAGACATATAAAACTTCAACAGTTTCCGAGGCACAAGAATATATAACGAATATCGAACCATAAGCGGAAAGGAAAGCAATAAACTTTAAGAAGTTTAAAAAAACGTAATGTAAAGTAAAAAAAGTTCATAACATACCACATGAAAATAGGGTGCTTTATCGGTGCGTGTAGTAATAAAAGCTAAAATGGCCAAAGGAAGGGTAAAAACCAAAGTATGGCAACATATAGGAAATCCTAGCCAGGTTTGGAATTCAACTTTAAAAAACAAAACAAATCTCTTAAAGTTAAAATAATTCTATGGAATTCCTTACTATAAAAACTTACAAATTATGAAAAATGTTGTAAAAGGCAAAATAACCACTTGTATACAGTTCAAAAGTTTGGACCAACCATGTCTCTCTTCCTCATAGTTGACTATGGGTATGAATAGGGTTAATATAAAGTTCATGGGTGCCTTGAGACAAATTAAGCTCTTTCTAAACCAACCAGCTTTAGACCATTCTTCCGAGTCTATAGGATTTAGGGTTTGCCACAATTGTTCAAACAAATGTTTATTGCGACTGACATCATAACCATAAAATGATTCTCTTGTGGCGTCGATATTTATAGTGACCCTGGAACCACGAGCTAAAATATCTATACTGGCTTCTTGACGTAAAGTGGTGTAATTTTTAAATTCGACAACTGTGCGTTTTTAAAGGAAATTATTATTATTTTTTATTCTGATAGGACCCATAGTTTATTTTAAATTACCCGACATTGTTCCTTTAAGCATTAGTTTTTCCATTTCTATACAAGGTTTAGATTTAGGGAGATTTTAATAATTATTACTTATGTAATTTGTAAAACTCTTAAGATGATTTATACTTACTGTTAACACGACGTTTCAATAAATATTGATCTAATAGTATAACCACCAAATAGACTAGATATATTGATATAATGCCTGAAATTTTAGGGAGATCTATCAAGAAAAAATTTCAAACAAATCTTGTTTAAACGTCACTTACAAAATGCCTCTAAACGTGTAACATATTTATCACTTTCTATAGCATAATCAATATATAAAGTACCCAATATGAAGAAAGTAGTATCACGCAAAAGATTACTGCCACTTATATGGAAGGGACGTATAATACAGATAACTCCACCCACAAAGGTAGTGACATAAATAGCGGCACTAAGAAGATTTGAATACATGGTGGTGGTGGGATCATCTATACCGGCCAAACTGGTGAACAGATCTGGTGAACCATTGCCAAAAGCCAATAGAGTAACACCAGCCAAATGTTCACTTAAGCCCATTACTTTCGACAGCATTTCCAATGAAGGACAGAAACTTAAACAGAAAATCGAAAGTGAAATCATAAGAAAAACAGAAGTCCAAAAACCTACAATTTATCGGCGGTGGTTCCCAAAATGATAAACATTATGAAACACAAACATATGAATAGAATCAAACAAGCATACAGTTGAGCATCACTGCTGGGCTCCAAGGAGCAATATAAAATTTCTATATAATTAAAGAAATACGCTTTATCTTGACATTCTGCAGTATTGCGCACATATTCACAGCGATATTCATACTCAATATCTTGGACACTTGAGCAGCTTAACTGTAAAAACAAAAATAAAGATTGCAGTTTCCCTGTTATTTACAAAAACATACGTTTTACTTTACTTACAAAATTGCGAAATTTGGAGAATTCTTCAATATAGGGCCCCTTAGAGGTATTCATTTGTTTTGTTTTCTATTTTTTAAGAATTTTTCTTTCCTTTTTTCTAATTTATTTTTGTTTTCAAACTGAATTATGAGTTGTATTTCAATTACATATATTTTTGTACATACCCCATGTTTCCGTTCCGTTTTATTTCCTTCAATGTATTTTACAAATTTTACTTGTTTTTACCATTAATTATTTGCCACTCCAAACCCCAAAAAAACATTATTTATTTAGTTATCTTTAATTTGATTTATTGTTTCTTTCGTTATTTTCACTTTTACTTTCTTTTTTCTGCACATTTTTAATCACTAATTCTAGCCATTTGTTTTAAGTGTAAAATCAAGTGTAAATATTAATTTCCGTTTTTAACCGGAAGTAGCCTGAATTCCTAGGCGCCATATAAAAATCTTTAGTTGTCATTGCGCTTATGTCTCTTTCATACAATATTTGAACATATTTTCTTCGCTTTAACTTATGTATGCGTTTCAATGCGTTAAGTTTGAGTTGAATAAATTTATGCTAAATAAATCGAGTAAATAAATGTTTTTTTTTCTTTTTAATTTTACCCTGTGTACTTAATCGCTTGAAGTGTTTGTAACAACTAAATATTATTGTTTAACTTAAACACTAACTAGTTGGCTGGTACGTAGAAAATATTTTTGAATTTTTACACACACATTCCTTCGCATTAAAGCAGGCATCGGCATTCATATTCATTACAGTCCAAGGATATTTTCATGTGCGTAACCGGCATTTTTCCAAAAGAGTACTTTTTTAGACTGATTACTCTACTGACTAGTTTATGGACACTATTGACTAATCCACGGACTAGTACATATAGATTAGTCTATTGACTAGACCAGATTGGTCTATGGAAATTATTATTTTGAATAGTTTATTGAATGGTATATTTATTAGTGTATGGACCTGTCTATGGATATATTACACAGTAGTACTAAATATATTACACAGTAGTACTAAAGTTTTTATCCTTTCGATTATATGTATATAAGTCTCCCTCTGTCGACCACTGTGTCCATATGTATGTGTATTGCAGAGAGTTATTTTTATACTCTATAAATTCCAACACTAAATATAATATATGAGTAAAGGAATTAAAACAAAGGAAATACAAACCAAATAGTGCTGGTATTTCTAATACACTGCTATTGTGGTTTTATTGTATTTCTTTTAAGAAACGTTTTGCAATAAAACATTTGTCATATGAGTAGTAAATAAAAAATGTTTGGAATTTTAAAAGTTGATTTTAACGTTTAGATTTTACAAACGACTTTATCGATAATTTTTATATTCTCACCTCTAAGGAATTTTACACCTTAGAGATTGTGTCGGAAATTTTGATTTCCAAAAACTCGAAAAACTTCTGGTTTTGTCTTCAACTAGACTATAGACTAGACTATAGACTAGACTATAGACTAGACTATAGACTAGACTATAGACTAGACTATAGACTAGACTATAGACTAGACTATAGACTAGACTATAGACTAGACTATAGACTAGACTATAGACTAGACTAGACTAGACTATAGACTAGACTATAGACTAGACTATAGACTAGACTATAGACTAGACTATAGACTAGACTATAGACTAGACTATAGACTAGACTATAGACTAGACTATAGACTAGACTATAGACTAGACTATAGACTAGACTATAGACTAGACTATAGACTAGACTATAGACTAGACTATAGACTAGACTATAGACTAGACTATAGACTAGACTATAGACTAGACTATAGACTAGACTATAGACTAGACTATAGACTAGACTATAGACTAGACTATAGACTAGACTATAGACTAGACTATAGACTAGACTATAGACTAGACTATAGACTAGACTATAGACTAGACTATAGACTAGACTATAGACTAGACTATAGACTAGACTATAGACTAGACTATAGACTATAGACTAGACTATAGACTAGACTATAGACTAGACTATAGACTAGACTATAGACTAGACTATAGACTAGACTATAGACTAGACTATAGACTAGACTATAGACTAGACTATAGACTAGACTATAGACTAGACTATAGACTAGACTATAGACTAGACTATAGACTAGACTATAGACTAGACTATAGACTAGACTATAGACTAGACTATAGACTAGACTATAGACTAGACTATAGACTAGACTATAGACTAGACTATAGACTAGACTATAGACTAGACTATAGACTAGACTATAGACTAGACTAGACTATAGACTAGACTATAGACTAGACTATAGACTAGACTATAGACTAGACTATAGACTAGACTATAGACTAGACTATAGACTAGACTATAGACTAGACTATAGACTAGACTATAGACTAGACTATAGACTAGACTATAGACTAGACTATAGACTAGACTATAGACTAGACTATAGACTAGACTATAGACTAGACTATAGACTAGACTATAGACTAGACTATAGACTAGACTATAGACTAGACTATAGACTAGACTATAGACTAGACTATAGACTAGACTAGACTAGACTATAGACTAGACTATAGACTAGACTATAGACTAGACTATAGACTAGACTATAGACTAGACTATAGACTAGACTATAGACTAGACTATAGACTAGACTATAGACTAGACTATAGACTAGACTATAGACTATAGACTAGACTATAGACTAGTCTATAGACTAGACTATAGACTAGAATAGACTATAGACTAGACTATAGACTAGACTATAGACTAGACTATAGACTAGACTATAGACTAGACTATAGACTAGACTATAGACTAGACTATAGACTAGACTATAGACTAGACTATAGACTAGACTATAGACTAGACTATAGACTAGACTATAGACTAGACTATAGACTAGACTAGACTAGACTATAGACTAGACTATAGTCAAAACAAAACGGTGTTTGTAACATGGTTTAACAGGAAATGGTCAAAAAATATTGGCAACATTAAGTAAGATCAATGCTACTAAGATCAGTTAAATTCTCATTACATTAAATCCAACTTCTTACGTTAAATAATCACATAGAGCCCAAATCGCAATATCTTGGAGTATTGTTTTAATCCAGAAGTCTTTGCTTTAGCCACTAAGGAGAAAATGTTTAGAATTTAAGTTCTTGCTTGTTTTCTATTTACTAATAGTGATTGCTATTAGCTTTGAAATATCAAAGTCTGGAGAGATTTGTTTACGAAAGATAAACTTAAATGGGAAAGTAAAAAAAATCTACAAAACGTCAAAATATTTTTCAGTGTAATCACATATATCTCTTCGTAATTAGCTGAATTTTACCCGGATATTTTTAACATTCTTGTAAGTTTTTTTCAACTACCATCACTACTATTTTTATAGACGTTGCAATTGTTAAAGTTTATAAAATTTACGATCTTTCATGTCTACACAGTGTTACGATATACTCTGCACGTAAAAATCACCTGCAAATTTTTTAGCTTTAGCATACACTCCCTGATATATTATGAAAGCAAGTAAATTACTTTTAACTCCTAGCTACAAAATAAATATTTTTCACGAATATATAGAAATATTTGAAAATTTACCTTTTAGTAAAATTGGTGTAAAATTCAATTGTGGGAATTGATTCATTCCAATATATTTCATTAACGAATCTTTTTTAAATTCTTGAATATTTTTTTTTTATTTTACACAAGAATGAAACGTAAAAACTCATGTAAATATGGATAATTTAGTTCATTCGCGAAGGAATTCAATTCGAATACTCTCCGCTTTCGAATGTTAGTAGCCCTTACACACATTCGCCGGAATGTATGTGAAATGTACAAAATGATGGGCAAATTCAACATTCACAAATTCACATGAATGTTAAAGGGAACCATCATACATAAGTAGAGAAATGAAAATAATTACATGCCAACAAGCAATTTGTAAATCCTGACGTTAAATTTTTTGTTGCTTTTTGTATTTTTTCCTTAATTCTTTATTCTTAGTTTTGTTTTCTACTTTGTAGCGTTACCTTTTTGATAAGTTTGAATTTAATTTTCAAATTAATGCTTAAAAGGTTTCGTACGGAAAAAAGTGATAATAATTTAATTTTAAAGAACGCTTTCATTGTTGCCCTTTAAAACACGTAATCGAATTACGTTAAATTTCAAATTATTTCTTTTTATGTTCAGCGGTGGCAAGTGAATCTCTACCATGCCATTTACAAGTTTTAAGACACACGTGGGTTGTGTGTTAAGGTGAAAAATTATGATTATTTAAAAGATTGATAGAAAATTATAAGGAATGCTATTATGATCGGATTAACATCAAATTTTTATATTGTCTATGTCAAAGAAATTTATTTCGTGAAGCTGAATCAACTTGCCGAAATATGCTATTATAAATTGTATCTTTTTAAAAACTTCCTACCAATTTTATTTACAACATTCAGTTTTTTTCTTTTATTTATGACACCACCCACGCATTTTCTATATTCAATAAATCTCATTATTTAACAAATTTAGAAAATGGAACAATTAATAATACGACTACATAGTTAATTAGTTCAATGCCACCTACAACATGTTTTCAGCCGTTTAATATATTTAGTCAAGTAGGTCAGTCCACATTTCTTCCCATTACCAGCAACGCACACATTTAAACGTATTCATGCTTCAAAATTATTTCTTTCTTGTGCCATTTTAAGAAACTCATACCTTGAATTTTGCACCATGGGTGGTTGTTAAATCAAATACAATTTCTTAAATGAAACTTTTACTTTTCTATTTCCTGTTTATGTTTTTTTTCCTAGTAACACGCAATTTGTAAATGGCATTTGGTTGGTAGTTTGCTCTATAGAATTTAATGAATGAATGAACGAAAGAAGAAAGCATTGATACCTTGATTAAAATATTGCCCATTCATGTCTAACTAAGTGTATTAGATTTTACTTCGGAAAATGCCCTAAAAGGGTCATGGGAAAACTGTTTTTGGAATGAAATGAGTGTAAGTGGTTTGAATGATTTAAATATAGTTTTCAAAATTGTTATGTTTATGTAAAATATTTAAATTGAACAAGCAGTGAATGGAAATTGGCTTCAGGATAGTTTTTTTGTAGGTTATAAAGTGTGGAGACTTCTATGATCAGATGATCGGTTCTCAGTAGTGTCAATTTTCGTTTTCCACAAATTTTTCCAAAATTTAGATTTTCACTGCACCGATGAAGGGTTGTCAGTCTATGTAAGCATAGCCTCCGTAAAAAGTGCCTTCCAAAAGGTATTAAATGTCCTTAATTGCATTAATTACCCAGCAAAAACTTTCATTATCAGTTAAGGGAATAAAATACTAAAATTTACTTACACAATAGCATTTTAAGTCATTATTTTAACACGGTAAAGACAGAGAAGACAAGTAATTACCACGCTCGCTTACATATTGGGAGTTAAAGCAGCACTTACCAAGATACGTCTATAATAGTTTTCACACCAAAAATAGTGTTCCTTGTAAGTAATGCAGGCGGTATGTAGTACTAATTGAAAAGTAAGTTGTTTGGTAAGTTCAAGTCGTTAGTTAGTTAGTTAGTTAGTTAGTTAGTTAGTTAGTTAGTTAGTTAGTTAGTTAGTTAGTTAGTTAGTTAGTTAGTTAGTTAGTTAGTTAGTTAGTTAGTTAGTTAGTTAATTGATACTACACTGGTTTAGAAAATCTGTCCCTTTTTCTCTACAGGCTCCCTAGAAAAAGGGATCACTGAACAAGATCCTCTTAAACATTCTTCCTTCGAATGTCCCATTTCGAATTTCCCCTTTAATTCTTATGCCACGCAGTTCATAATAATAAAACACTTGATAATTTTAAATTTCATTTAATACCATTATATTTTTTAACTCTATTTTCATTTTTTTCTTGGTTTTAATTCAGATTCTAATGTAATAATGATTATAAAGTAGAAAAATATATATGTACACATTAATTAATGTAAAACGAAAATTTGTTAATATGATTATGAAGTGAAACATGTATGTATTTTTTAAGGCTTTTTAAAGTTCATTAATTATATAATATTTTTTTTTTTTTGTTAAGAAGTGACAATTTTTCAAATTGAAAATTGTTTTTAAAAACTACTCTGACATTTAGTTATATGTTTATAGCAAATAAAATGTAACAAAAAAAAAAACGAATTTAATTAAAAAATTAATTACAATAATGTATGAATTAATCAACAAAAGTTTAAAAAGTGTTTTTTAACTATTAAAAGTATCAGTTCTCTTCATCAGCTGGGATGTTTATTATTAAATTAAGGATTTCTAAATTTGTTTTAAAGTTATTAAAATGTTAATAATCAGCATTATCTAAACCTAAAGACAATGTTTAATTAAAATATTGAAAAATTGTTATATGAAAATTTAAAATTTATTTAGTTTAATTTTAAACATTGTCTTAAGGTTCCAAATACGAGGGTATATTTAAATTTCAGTACGAGTACTAGTGCTATATATTTTTTTTCTATTTTCTTACTAGAATTGATATTTGAAACTGTGTTATACCTGGATCAAATATATTTTTGTTTTCAGACTAATTCATCATGAGTTAAAAAACTAAAATTGAACTGAGAAAGTTGTATTTAATATTTTTTTTAAAAAAGTAGTTTTTATCGTATTTTTATATTTTTTGGCACAAAAAAATCTAGAGCCAATTTTTTTATTTAAAAATGTTATCTTTTTAAAATCACGAAAAATTGGGATTTTGAAAACGTTTTATTTTTTTATTTTTTTTTGTTAATTTAAACTTTTTTGCTTTTTTGTAAATTTGAAACTATTTTTTTTGTTGTAATACTTGATTCTATGCCAGTTTGTGCATATCTAAATATATTTTTAAATATATATAATTGTTTTTGTTTTTAATTAAGTTTTTAAGCTAAAAAATATGATTCTATCATTTTGTAATTTTAGCCAGTGTTTGAAGATAAAAATTTCTTCCAAAAAATTTACGTGAGAATAAATATTCTGTGTGGGTGGGTGTTTGCATTTGTTTTACAATATATTGCAGGCGGAACCATGCATGACTTCTGTTAAAAACATCGGTGTTCCTGCCCCCAAACCACCATCGGTTTTCTGATGTTCATTCTATAAAGAAATGAAGAAGAGAATATGAAATTTACTATAAATAGTTGCAATCACGTTGCATTTACTTACATCATCATATTCACAATCGAAATAATGACTTTGACATTCCATGCAACGACATCCGTCTGACATTTTACACGTTATTCCCCACTCCTTGGCCAAGTCCTTGTAGATTTCTTTTGACGATTTATTACTTATTATTTCCGGTGTCTGTGAGAGTTCCTGCTGCTGATGCTGTTGATAATATTGTTGATGTTGCTGCTGTTCACCACAATTTTCGTATTGCAAATTGTGCTGTGAACTTGACTGTTGATTATCATCCCAGTGGTTTTCGTTGGAGCATTCATTACCGCATTCGTTGGTACATTCGCCAGAGTTGCCGTCATGATCACACATTTGATTTTGATAATCCTCATCGTAATGGGATGCTGTGGGATAAGATTTAAAATCATTAATTGCTTTGAGGAAATAAATTAATTTTAAAGCAGGTCAGACTATATAATATGGATATAGTCTGGACTAAATTCTGCTCTTAGTCTTAACTACAGTCTCCATTTTAGTCAGAACTATATTGTGGACTTTATTCCGGGCTATTGTCTGAACTATAGTAATGAGCTAACTAAAGCAATAGTCTCCAATATAGTTTAAATTATAGTCTGAACTACAGTGAGGACTATAGTATCTTCTGGACTATATTCTTAACTATTGACTAGACTATAGTCTGAATTAGAGTTTAGTCAGAATTATATTCTGAACTAAAGTGTCGACTACAGTATGGATTACAGTCTAAGCTATCATGTGGACTAAAGTGAACTTAATATGGACTATAGTATCAACTCTTGTCGGAAATATAGTAGAGCTTTACTGAAAACTAGTCTGGACTGGACTGGAAATTGGCAGTTTTGATATATGTCAATTTAATATCCTAAATATGAAAATTTTTTATGAATTCCCATTAAAAAAAAAAACTCACCATCATTACAATAGATACTGTGATTCATTAAAGGATCATAGAAATCACCGCTTTGATTTCTCTCACCCTGACCGCCCGAACACGAAGCCGTACCATCATTATTATACTGTTGACAATCTGTATTGTATTGTTGACCATCCGAACTGTACTGTTGACAATTGCCCGAACAACTATTCTCAAGTTGTTCTCGCTCCTGATCTGATGATGAATCTGTCATATTTTCACCGAGTAAAAATTCCTGAGAATCTATTGATTCTTTGCGATCGTCTTCGTTAACCGGATTTTCAACGTTCTCTAATGTTGTATCGTTCGGATCAGTGATAAGATCTTCGTGTAGTTGCTGTTGTTGTTCGTTTTGAAGTTGTTGTTGCTGTTGTAATTGATTCGTGTTAGGTGTTTCGTTGTTGTTGTTATTATTATTCGTATTATAGTTTTCGCGACAATTTGGATCCGTACAGGGTAATTCGTTGAGACTTAATTGCTCTAAACAAGAGTTTAATTGATCGTTAATATCATCATTATCATTTCTTGAAGCTGTGGCGTTGGCTAATTGTCGTTGCTAAGTGTAATAAGGAAAGAGAAGGGAAGTTGTATAAAATGAGGCATTGGAAAGATATTTTTTTATTATCAAGCAATTTTAATTTACATTTACCTCTTCCAAAACACATTCATATGTTGGAGGTGGTGTACTGGGTATATTTTCTCCTTGTTTGGCTTGATTTTGATTTATGAACCCTGTAAGATGATGATGTTGTTGATGTTTAGAAAATGGATTATTATTTTATTTTTTCTTATTAATTTTGTTCTTATTTTGTTTTTGTACAGCTTAATTTGTAGACATGCTTAAATTGAGTATTTCAGAGAAATTGCAATTTGTTTATTTAATGAGGTGTCGAGGATGGCGATGATGATGATTAGGATGTTTATTGGTTGGTGTGTGTGTAGAGATTGAAAGTGTTAGAAATTTGAACCTTTTTCATACATACAGATAAATAAATAAATAAATTACGAAATGGGGTTAAGGGTTTTTTAGCAAATAAAATTATATCTTCTTTTTCTTCTATTTATTTTACTGTATTATGCTTCTATGAATTAGAATAGATAAATAGATAGAAGAATAGATAGATTAAGCGCAGAATATAATCGAAAATGAAATTTTGTGCAAATGTAAGCATTTTATTTTGTTGTGTTTTTCATTTTGTCTACCACACACGAACACACACACACATATTGAAAACATCAATACAAGTTATTTTATTTTTTATATTTAAGATTTTTCTTGTTAAATTTTTATTGTATTTCTCTTACCCATTTTAAGATTGTTGCTTTTGTTGGGCAACAATAGTTTGCGTTCACTGGTATTGAGTGAGACCAAACTATTGCAATCCACCGAATCTATGGTTGATGAACTTGCTCCAATGCCACCAAAAGTTTGATGATTTAATAAGGCCTCATTTACCTGAGGATCCGGTTCATGTTCTTGTGATGTGCTACGGGAACTACCCATGCGAAATTTTAATTTAAATGGTGCCATTTTCAAACCGCAATTATTATTCTTCTTCTTTCTTGTTTTGTTTTTGCTTCTAAATATTTTGTCTTCGGGGTTTAGGTCTTTCTTTTGTACATTAAAGTCTTAGATTTATTTGTTTAAAAAAGTTTGTTTTTTCTTTTGCTTTCACGACTACAAAAAATTACATAGAATATACACCAACCAAAAAAAAAAGAAAGAAAAAGAAAAGGTTAAACAGAAAGAAGGATCAAAAGTAAAAGAACAAAGAAAATTACACAAAACTTGAAAAAGAAGGATAGTAAATACATAAATAAAATATAGTAAATAGAGTGAATTATTTATGTATAAGTATGGTTTATTAATGCAAAGTAATTTAACTACATTGAAATTATACTCCAGGAAATAAGTTTAGGTGAGGGGGTTTTCAATAATAACCAATTAAAAGCTGTGATTGCAAAAATGAAAAGGAATAATTGATTTGACTTCAGAGTCTATAGTCTAGTCCATAGTCTAGTCTATAGTCTAGTCTATAGTCTGGTCTATAGTCTAGTCTATAGTCTAGTCTAGTCTAGTCTATAGTCTAGTCTATAGTCTAGTCTATAGTCTAGTCTATAGTCTAGTCTATAGTCTAGTCTATAGTCTAGTCTATAGTCTAGTCTATAGTCTAGTCTATAGTCTAGTCTATAGTCTAGTCTATAGACTAGTCTATAGTCTAGTCTATACTAGTCTATAGTCAGTCTATAGTCTAGTCTATAGTCTAGTCTATAGTCTAGTCTATAGTCTAGTCTATAGTCTAGGCTATAGTCTAGTCTATAGTCTAGTCTATAGTCTAGTCTATAGTCTAGTCTATAGTCTAGTCTATAGTCTAGTCTATAGTCTAGTCTATAGTCTAGTCTATAGTCTAGTCTATAGTCTAGTCTATAGTCTAGTCTATAGTCTAGTCTATAGTCTAGTCTATAGTCTAGGTCTATAGTCTAGTCTATAGTCTAGTCTATAGTCTAGTCTATAGTCTAGTCTATAGTCTAGTCTATAGTCTAGTCTAATAGTCTAGTCATAGTCTAGTCTATAGTCTAGTCTATAGTCTAGGTATCTATAGTCTAGTCTATAGTCTAGTCTATAGTCTAGTCTATAGTCTAGTCTATAGTCTAGTCTATAGTCTAGTCTATAGTCTAGTCTATAGTCTAGTCTATAGTCTAGTCTATAGTCTAGTCTATAGTCTAGTCTATAGTCTAGTCTATAGTCTAGTCTATAGTCTAGTCTATAGTCTAGTCTATAGTCTAGTCTATAGTCTAGTCTATAGTCTAGTCTATAGTCTAGTCTATAGTCTAGTCTATAGTCTAGTCTATAGTCTAGTCTATAGTCTAGTCTATAGTCTAGTCTAGTCTATAGTCTAGTCTATAGTCTAGTCTATAGTCTAGTCTATAGTCTAGTCTATAGTCTAGTCTATAGTCTAGTCTATAGTCTAGTCTATAGTCTAGTCTATAGTCTAGTCTATAGTCTAGTCTATAGTCTAGTCTAGTCTATAGTCCCATGCCTGATATAGTACGTCTGAGGCAACAGCCCGAGATTAATGTATAAGTATTTTGAAAATATGTGTCCAACCCAAAAGAAGTTGTCAAAACCAAAATTCCGTCCGATGTTCGAAACTAATTACAGCTAATAAAATGGAAAGTAAAAATTTGAAAATTTTAAGTTTAATTTTAACTTTTCTTTTTAATATTCCGTAAATACCCCTAAACTTATTACCAAGAGTGTAGATAATAATATTTAGTAAATTTATAAAAGTAGTTTTATAGTTATAGAGTATTAATGGTTAAATGCATGATAGAATTGCACATGATTTTTCAAAATTTAATTCAAATAGAAAATTTGCATTTAGATGAGTTCGATTTTTCGAATTAGGACATTTTACTATTGCACAATATTTATCTACATAATACATTAACAAAAGTATACAGTATTGTTTAAAACTTAAGCAAGATTTTCTTATAAACTAATATAAAGTCTAAGCCCCGTTCACACCATCTCTCTATGGAGTAGAAAAGCCTATGACTAGTTTATTGGCTCGCCCATGGTCGAGTCTATTGACCCTTAAACCATGTCTGGTTTGATTACTTTGAAAGAAAAAGTTACTTAGGTTTCCAACAATACTGTATTTTTACATACATACACAAACACATGTATGTATGTGTAGATAATATATTTTTGCATGTTTATGTCAATATTATTTTGCAATATTTATTATTAGTATTCAAATTGTTTGTATCATTTCCATAAATACTTTTTTTTTGCAAAACTACATACATGATTTTAGGTGTTTATTTAAATACTTTTTGCAAAATGCTTTTATTGTGAATATTTTTGTTTGCTGTAGGTATTTGTAGTTGTTGTTAATTTATATTTAAAAATAAGGTATAATTTATTCTACCAACATGCAAAGTGAAATTAAATGGATAGTTTGTTTAAAGTTTTAAATTTCTTACCAAAATTCAGTTATTTAGACATAATTTAGAGATCTGCAAAAAAAGAAATTAGGTTTATTTATTTTCAACAAATAAAGAAAATCAATAAATTGTCTGCTCTTTCTTAAATTTAAACAACACATTGAAAGTGTAAAGAAAAACCTTAACAAGCCAGTTAGGAAAATTTTAAGAACAAAAAAATATCAAATTCATAAATGTTTAAATTTTCTTTAACAACATAAACAGATTTCGTTTATATTGTTAACCTAAAATTTGTTTAGGCCCTAAAAATAATATTAGTTGTTTTAAAAATTATACAACTAAACTATGTAATTCAAGCCTACAAGCCCAAAACTCACACACACATACATTTACAAAATTTAAGGGTAACGACCCTAAGGACTCTTGCTGCCAAAAGTACCACTTTAAGTAAGAAAATAAAACATGTCAGAGCTTTAAAAAGGATACAGATTTTTACTTGTTGAATAAATTGATAAATTATTTTACACACACACATACACTCAATTTTACAAGATGATTTCATCAACCAAATTCTGAGTGGGTATGAGTGGAAAAAACACTTAAATATTTAAAATGATTAATTAAATGTTTGATGAACATTAAATTTGGCTTTATAACGTTAAGTGTTGAGAAGTGTCTGTGTGTGGGTTTGAAACGTCCTATATATAAAAATGTATATAAAATATTTATGCTTTTGCATACACACAAAATTTTGTTTATCATTAAGAGCAAGTGTTTGTACCTTACAACCCATGATCTGCGTCCACTTGTTACCAATCGAAGCTTTTACACAGTTTTCAGTTGATAAATTAAATCTACTCACTGAGGTGTAGGTTTTAAATAATTTCTGAATTTATCAAATAGATCCCAGCAAATATTTGGTAATGACATGTATTAAAACAACAACTTACTTTTCGATGACTAGTACATACCGTCTACATTACTTTTAAGCACTCTAATAATGACTTATATATAATCATAAACTTAAAAACTTATTTAGAATTTTGTCATTATTTTTGACTACCTATTTGCAACGGCTTATTTAAGTACTTATTTATAAGCGAGAGTGGTAAATACTTGCACCCAATTTTTGGAATGTTTATGAAATATTAGGTGAAGTGAGGGGAAGCGATTTGCGCAATAACTCTCTTAATTATAATGACTGATTCTCATTTATAAATATTAATGTATAATTCCTAGCTGGTTTACATTTATATGCAATGCACCTATTATTATGATGCTAAGTATGAATAAGTTGTTGCGGTTGAAACATCTTTATATGGATGTATATATTGTATTCATATATAGATAAAAATTAATTATACATGTTATGAATATGTACTTGTATTTACCAATATTTTAATAAATATTCATATACAAACATAATTATGGATGTGAATACATTTACATCTACGATTACTTACACGTTTAGCACTAAGATTATACCTTAAGTTGGCTCCGTTTGTATGGAACCAAAAATCCTTCTATGGCTTTTCTGAACTAATATGATTAATTTTATCATTCAAAAACACAATGCGTATTTGAAGTGACAACAATGCGTTGTCAAAATTACAACGGTGGTTGTCAAAATGATAACTGGGTGTTATTTATATTTTATACAGATCCGTTGTCTAAATATTAACAAACGTGGTAAGCTCACTTTTGACAATGTATTATTTAAATTTAAGTACTTTTCTACCGTTTTTTTCCCTCTGTGTATTACTTTTTGATATTAAAAATCAAATATTAAATAGGTCGACCAGATAAACAAATTTAAAGAATATAACCGACATGCAAATTGCAAATCAGAAACGAGGTCCCTAAAGCTTAAGACGATATCGCTTAGTGTATATACAATAACCTTGTTCGCTATCTTCAAGTTAAGAAAACAAAAGCTCTTCTGGTTCTGAAAATTTAAATATATCTTTCAAGAACCTTACGCTAATTCTTTAGAGAAAATACTCCTTCATTATCAAGAACTTTTCGGGAAGTTATATACAAATGTACCAAATATTTTGTCGACATTTTAATTGTCTTTTTAGGTCAACTCTACTTATGAAGATTTATTTTGAAATACAAATTTAAAAATATTTCCAGAAATGAGGAAATCAAAAATACGTCTGATTTGTGTACAAATAAGTTAAAATTATGAATTCTTGGTTGCCATCCTAATGTACATGATGCATAAATGTTGTAATTATGTTGTAAAAGAAAACATGTTTTATTCAAACTAGACAGACATATTACATGCATACAATTGTAAGAAATCTTAAACTAAATACAAAAATATACAGTGCTGTTCAAAAACTATGCAAATTTTGTACAATTCATATGTATATATAAAGGAAATTTAAGTTTAAAAATTTTTAAAGATTTCGGTGAAAATTGTAATCGACATAAATTAATCTGAAATCCAAATATGTATAACCAACCACAGCTATAAACGAATCTATACTAAATCAGAAAGTGCTGGTCAAAAGGACCATAGATTATTACAAAGTTGTATAACATTCGTTAGTTTTGAAATATATAATTCTGTTTTTGTAATCAATCAAACTTGCTTAGGTTTCGAACTATGCTGTAATATGTACATACATGTGTACATATGCATGTACTTATGTATAAAGAAGTTCAAACATATGCTTGTATAAATGATTAAGGACCTCCTATATGAACCTATCATACGTGTCATAAAATACATATTCATTGCTTTTTGTCTATCGAATTTTATGTTTATTTAAGATATATAATTTTCTTTACATTTTTTTTCCTTTGGTGGGATGAAGGTTATAAAAATTTTCCACAATAATCCGGAAAATACAAGTAAACAAAGAAAAATGACAACAATAAAAAAAACGAAGCAAAACATGACATCAACGTTAACAAAGCTCAAATGAAGTAAAAAGAAAAAAAGAACTTAAAATGAAATGGAATAGAAAGAAATAAAATCGTATAAATATTTCAATAGTGATGAGTTTCTTTTGAAAGAAAACATCAGCTGAGGCATAAAGGATACACAAACAAATACATATACATCTAACAAACACACACACACACTCATATAGACTTGGTGAAAAGTAGGGAGTGTGCAGTAGTTATAGGGAACTTATTCACTTACTAACACTGAAACTCTATTCCTTTCTCTCTCTCTTTCTGTCTCAATTTGTTAAACATAAACACAGGTCCTACACATACAAACAACCAAACAAATACCTACAAAAAGGACTAACATTTAAATACTATATACAAAAAAAAAAGCAATATTAAACAAGAACTGGAACTGGAGTACTAAGGACAAACACACAGAATATAAAAAAGGATACATTGATGTATGATATGAAATATCTTATATCGCCTTAGGACACACCACAATTTATATTTTTTTATTAAACCTGAAAAGGTACGTTTTATCTTTATTTTTTTATTTATTTCTCCCTCATTTGAAAGGACATAAATTCTTATTATACTTTTGTCTTAATAATTTCTTTCTATCTTCACAGCCAGAATAAAAATAAAATTGTACAATAAAAAATATCTTTCTAAAGAACTTAACTTACCACTTACCTTAAAGTTTTAAAAAAATATTTTTTCTTATGTATAGATATGAACTGTTTGTTTGTTTTTTAATGAAAATTTGTTAAATTTTAGTTAAAATTTAATTGAAACACTTTGTAGTTTTATAAAATTTTTTGTTTACGTCTTATAATATAAAATATATTTTTAGTAATTGATAATAATAATTTTCTTTTAGTTAAACAATTTTTTTCTTTTTTTATATAAAGTTTTTAGTCATAATAAAAATTTATTTCTTTTCTTTTTTTTTGTTAAAATTTTTGTTGTCTATGATTCATAATCTCCAATAACAAGTAAAACTCTAGACTGTGCTCATTATTACAGGGTTGCTTGTATTTATTATACTTTTTCACATTTCAATACAAAATCGATGTTGTTGTCCCCAAACAAAACAACAAAAGCTCTCAGCTGTGCGCATTTCCTAACGAGAAAAAAAAGGAATCCTTGCCAAAGTTTTTAAATTTGTTTATTTTTTGTTGTTGCTGTTGTTTTGTTAGACCTTTTAACTTGTGTTTGTAGCTAAATGTGCGTAAAATAAATGTAAACAAATGAAACTTTTTCATTTGTCAACTTTTGACAGTTGCAAGTTTTTGTTTTGTTGTTGTTGCTGCTGCTTTGAAAAGTTTTATTTCAAAGTTACTCTCCGGAAATCAACTTGAAAAACATTAGTTCTTTGTTTAATAGAGATGGAGAGAGAGAGAGAGAGAAAGTGAATTCAATGAGAGTAATTTTGTACACTAAAGAGTATAAATCCTGCACATGACTTTTAATGAATGAAAGGACTTTTTAACCTTAAAACGTTGCATTAGGGGATAATAAACAGCAAAAGCTTTCTTTTAATATCTAATGTAGTCGTAAAAGTTAATTTTATTAATATTAACTCTTGATGAATGAAAAGCTTTCTTTTATTAAAGTCAAAAGCAGTTAAGAAATCAAAATGTGTATTTATGTCTAAATGATGATGTTTGAAGTTTATTTAACAGTGGTCTTAAAGAGCTTGAAATTGAAATGGGTTATTAATTGTTCAAATTGAGAAATCTGCTTTAAATTTATCCTTAATATCTTAAATTACAGCTTTACTTTATTTTGTTTCTGTTTAAGTTAAATAATTGGGGTCCTATAGCGTGTTAATTAGTTTTGAATATGAATGAAGTCGATATATCAATCATACCTCGCTCAATAGTAGACGAATAGTCAAGAGCTACTCAGAGTTTAACAGGTTGAAGTTTTTTTCTAAACTCCTTCTAGTTCCACAAGCAGTTCAAGTTATAGCCGGCGAAGTCCAAGTTAAGTCTATCTGTCGCCTGTAATCTTTGAATAAAAAAATTTGATCAATTTTTTTAATTACAAATTGCAAAATGGAAATAAGGTCCTTAAAGCTCTAGCCAATATCGCTTGAGGCCTAGATAGAAGACATAGTTATCTATCTTCAAGATAAGAAATCCTCTGGGAAACGAAATTTCAGCTGGTCTTTAAGGTTTTCTCCCGAGAATTATCCAGGAAGTTCATCAGATGTACGAAACATTTTGTACTAACTAAATTTTAAGGAGTGGTCTCACCCGATTTATGGCTTTTTCTTCGTTTAGTCCAGTTTCATCTTGTTAGGTTCATAATTGGTTTTTAACAATACTCGTACAGATGGACATTTTATTATAGAAATAAAAAGAGCTTTTATGCAAAAAAATTTTTTTCAAATGAAGAATTTTTACAAAAGGAGCTTTTTTAAAGATAATTTTTTACAAAATAAGCTTTTTTCAAAAAGGGCTTTTTTACAATACAGTTTTCTTAAAAAATAGCTTTCTTTCAAAATAGATTTTTTGAAAAAATAGTTTTTTTTTTATAAAATAGCTTTCTTACCAAATAGCTTTTTTTACAAAAATAGCTTTTACAAAAAAGTTTTCTTATAAAAATACCTTTTTTCCAAAAAGCTTTCTTACAAAAATTGTTTTTCTTTTATAAAAAAGCTTCTTACAAAATAGCATTTATACAGAAATGCTTTTTTACAAAACAGCTTTCTTACAAAAATAGTTTTTCTTTTTTTTACAAAAAAGCTTTCTTACAAAAACAGCTTCTTACTACACTGTATATTAATTTTGGTCTTTTTTTATTTTTAGGTACTCGAATTGGCCTAAAATCTCCCAGGTATTTATTTGAAAACTTATTTAATTAATTAAAAAAAATACACATTTTGCATTCAATTTGTTGTTTTTGTTTATTATTTATATTTTATTTATTTTATATCGAAATATCTAAATCGTTGTTTTTACATTTAAAATTATACATACATATTTGGTAGTTTGTTGTTGTTGTTTTGTTATAATTTCTTTAGTAACTTTTCGCCTAGTTTGAGTTCGAAAACATTGAAAATAAAGTATGGGTCTTTAAATATTTGGAACACATTAATCAAAAAAAAAAAAAATATATTAAAATGAAGTCAAGTCATTTACTATTTTAGAAAGTTTGTGTTTTATTGTGTTAGTCGGTTTACCGCTAAACCGCCTATGTGTCACAAACAAACTAAAAAGGACTCTCTTATTCTCTAACTCTTTATAAACTTTGTAAAACAAAATCAAAATTATTTTAAACAAATTCTTAGAATTCGTAGACAATTTTTCTGTTTACCAAGTATACTTGAGCAGTTTAGTAAGTAAAAATGATTCGCTAATTAAAATTAAATTAAGTTTTAAATGTCGTTCGTTAGTTGCTTGAAAATTATAAGAAAGAAAATCGCAATGAAAAAGAGAAATTGTTTTTAAAAGAGTAAAATTTAAAAGAGTCCCGATAATGTGCTAGTTTTTTTTTTTGTTTATCATAAATGATCAATTTATAAAAGAAAGAGCAAACAAATGTTAATTAAAATTTTCGTTAAATTGAATGATAATTTCAAGAGTTAAAAAAAACACCGTCAATGTGGTACAACTGTGTTTTTGTTCTCTAGCAAGAAGAAAAAGAAAGTTTAGCTTTTTGAAGTTTGTTAACAAAAATCAAAAATTAGTTTACAAATTAATAAATTAATCCTTTAAGCCACAGCTAAAACATATCACGATTGTTTGGGATGTTGTGGTGGCGGTGGTGGTGCTGGTTTAAAACATTGTAATAAAAAGGCGGTGTACATGACAAAGGCCACAGACAAGGCTATCAAGGCATACATGAATATATTCAATTCGGGCTGGCGGAAACGATTTTTACGCAACCATTCTAAAACCTCATCTTCAGATAGGAGATCACCTGGTGAAAGAAAAAAATATAAACAATTATTGAAAATTTTATGGCTTTTAAGTAGAAATTTACCTCTATAAATGCTAGGGAATCTTCTTCTGAAGTAGACCATAGCTGGCAGTTTGGTAACACCCCATTTCTTGGCATAACGGGAATCGGCCATTTTGACAAATGTTATATCCAAATTATCCGTTTCACTATCAATATTTTCCAATTTTTCCAATGCAGCAATTGATTCCTGTTGATTGTGCTCATCTTGGGTTTGTTAAAAGAAAAATATTTAAATTTGTATAATTAATTTTTGAATTGCCAACAAAACTTACAGAAAAATACTGTTATAAATTCATTTTCCTCTAGCAGTTTATCCAACATTTTACGATTGACCTCTTCGATTTCGTTTTTAATTTCGAAAACATCTTGTGATGTCAACCATGTTATGATCTTGTCGTGTTGGTGGAGATCACCATCGTATAAAACAGGAACTTGTTTTCTAAAATGTAAATTCATTAAACATTTAATGATTCAATTCATTAGCACACATCAACTTACCTAAAGTACACCAATGAAGGTATATTTACAACATCGTATTTTTTGGCAGCTTCAACACTAGCAATTTTAACGAAATCAATGCCAAACATATCTGCTTCACCATCGATTTCCTCTAATTCTTCCAAAATTTCCTCACATTCAGCACAATCTTCATCATCTATAAAATAAAGACATAACAAATTATCCTTCCTTTTTATTAAAAAAGTATTTTTTTTCAACTTACAAAAGAATACCACCAATAAAGTGGATTCAGCCATTAATCTCTCCAACATACGCTCATTGACCTCTTCAATTTCATCGGCCAATTCACGATTGTCATCATCGATAAGCCATTCCAAAACCGACTGTTCATTTTGCAAATCACCCTCGAATAACAAGGGATTGCCATTTCTGTAAAAACAAAACAAAAAAACCTTAATCCAAGTACAATTTGTTTTTTATATTAGAAACTATTACCTGAAGTAAACCAAAGCTGGGAATGTTTTAATAGAATAACGTTTTGCTAGTTGTGGATCCTGTATTTTAACCATGTGTATACCAAAAACATCACATTCATCATCGATCAGTTCCAGACCCTCCAAAATTTGATCACAAATATTGCAATTGATTTTATCTGGAAAATACATTACAATTTATTTTATTTTTTATTTTTATTTAATAATAAGGAGAATAAGGCCTTGTCTTCTTAAAGTATTATTTCCATGATGCTTTAGATTTAGTTGGGGTTAATGGCGCTTTGTTGAAGTGGTAGTAGTAGTAACAAAAAAAAAAAAGCTTTTAGAAAACGTCAAAAATTAAGGTATTCGTTACCAAACTAAATAGACGGATTTGTTTTTATTAAAGACTTTTTTGAGTAGATATCATTTGTATAAAATATATATACACATATAAAACGATTTAAGTTATGAAATTGCTAAATATTTATTAAAGGTTCTTTCTGGAAATTTACAACTAAAGAATTATCAATATTTGAGGATTTTATCTGATACCGATATTCTGACAGAATATTTGATTGTGAAATATGTATTTCAAAAATTAGGTTTCGATCAGTATTATAGAATACCGAAAAACACATTTTTATAAAGACACTGTTATTTTATTATGTTAATCAACCTTAAAAATAACCAGATACACATGAAACAAATCGAAACCCAGATTGAGCAACGCTGAGTCCGAATCAGGTCTCATAATTAATTTACCACGTCCGGTTTTCCGGATTTATAGTCATAAAGTTTGAAAAAACTCGTTTTTGAACATTTTTGAGAAGCTATAACCTCGCAAATTTCCCTTAATTTATAAAATCTATAATGCGATCTGAAAGTCCAATCATCTTACCCGAGTCTAGTCTATCGTCTAGTCTATAGTCTAGTCTATAGTCTAGTCTATAGTCTAGTCTATAGTCTAGTCTATAGTCTAGTCTATAGTCTAGTCTATAGTCTAGTCTATAGTCTAGTCTATAGTCTAGTCTATAGTCTAGTCTATAGTCTAGTCTATAGTCTAGTCTATAGTCTAGTCTATAGTCTAGTCTATAGTCTAGTCTATAGTCTAGTCTATAGTCTAGTCTATAGTCTAGTCTATAGTCTAGTCTATAGTCTAGTCTATAGTCTAGTCTATAGTCTAGTCTATAGTCTAGTCTATAGTCTAGTCTATAGTCTAGTCTATAGTCTAGTCTATAGTCTAGTCTATAGTCTAGTCTATAGTCTAGTCTATAGTCTAGTCTATAGTCTAGTCTATAGTCTAGTCTATAGTCTAGTCTATAGTCTAGTCTATAGTCTAGTCTAGTCTATAGTCTAGTCTATACTCTAGTCTATAGTCTAGTCTATAGTCTAGTCTATAGTCTAGTCACCATTCTATTATTTAGATTATTTACTGATTTATGAACTAATCTATTGACTGGTCTGTGGTGTATTGAGCAATAGGGAAGTAAAGATGAACAGCAAAATGTGCAATAGTACTGAAATTTCCATCCCCAATGTTTATGCTGTTCAACCCAGAAGTAAAGTACACTAGATCCGTAAAATAAACTTGGACTATAATATGGAGTAGTCCTTTTTAAATTCGTTTTAAATGTATTAGCAATTTCACTTTAAAGTGATTTTTTTCCATTTAAGAAAAATCCGTTATTTAGGTTGGACACAATTTCAGAGACTAAAAAGAATTAATTGTTTTAAATTTCAATATAATACAATAGAATACTTTTCGTGATATTATGTAATGAACTTTAAAATAGAGCAACGTTTAATTAACAAACAAACAAAACACGAATTAATTCTTTTACATCTCTGTTACACATATCGCTCATTTACATCAATAGCGATCTAACTCAAAAAACATAACATCCAGAAAAAAGGTTTTGAATGTTTGAAGTCATATTATGATTTTTAAACAAATCAGGGGTTTGGAAATGCAATAAGAATTTGGGTTATGTCGATTTTAAGTAGTAGATATTTTTATAAAAGGATATACATATGTATATTTCTCAAAGATTTTCGCATGTCAGATATTTTTAAGTTATATAAACACGTTGAGTTATATCACTTTTGATGTAAATGAGCGAAATGTATAAATACGCGCTGCTGTCTGACTGGCTGGTATTAATACGTATTTATCTATATGTATGAAATTGTTAGAACATTAAGAAAAGAAAAAACATGGTAACTGGTTAAAATTAGATTCACATTATGTTTAAGGAACACAAATAGACAAAAAGAGAGTAATGGATGTTATTAGAGTTTTGTTGTTTTGCATTTTTTGTTTTTGTAGAATACCTTGACTTTCGATACGTTTTCTTTTGCGTGAAATGTAATTCTTAAGGAATTGTTTGGATTTATGGGTATTCGAGGAGGAATTGTTAAAGTTGACTTCATTATTGGACATGGGTACACAATATGTTCTACAATAAGCAGGTTGTTTATGGCCCTTGCGCTCAGGTGGTACTAAATTCGTGACGTTGATGATTTTGGAGCGTATTTTTGTTTGGATGATGTGTTTTTTTTTTGGTTGAATTAAAGTGTATTTTTTTTGTGTTGTATATTGGTTTTTATTTTACAATATTTTGTTTTGTTTTTTGAGGGGGGAATTTTTATTTGGAAATAAGGGTTTTGTTATGAAATGAACCATTTTAAAAAAATTTGTATAACATTGAAAAACTTACAGAAATAAACAGCTAAATATTGTGTTTCCTCTACCATGGTTTCCAACATTTGTCTGGTGATCAATTCAATGCGATCTTCGGTCTTTTGGGTGATAAGCCATTGTAAGACTTCCTCTTCTTCTTGTAATTCACCTTTATAAAGAACACAAAAGATTAAATAGTTTTTACGTTTCGAGTAAATAACAATTGATAGCTGCTTACCTTCAAAAACATTTGGTATACCGCTTTCAAAGTACACCAGAGCTGGATAATCGTGTACACCATAACCATCGGCTACTGAAAAGTCTTTGGTTTTTACAAACTTAATGCCATGTTTGTCACAGTCATCATCAATGTTTTCCAGTTCTTCCAACACTTTGGTACAAGTTTCACAGCCATCCGTATCTAATGAAAAAGTTGAGTGCCAAAGTTAGTTTTATTAAAAATTTAATCCTGAATTTATAATTTAAAAAACAAAAGCAGAAACAGAAAAAATAACACACACACAAAGATAAAGATAATAATAACCAAGCGCAACACAGAACATAAAATTAAAATATTTAAAAAAATTACACTCTAACAAAAATAAAAAAAGTTTAGTTGTTGTAGAGGAAGTTTAAATCATTTAGGGCGGATTGTGTTTAAATTTCAAATAATAAAGAATGAAGGAAGAAGTTTCTCTTTAAGGGAGTTGGGGAAACTAGACTAAAAACATTAAAATTATTTTTAACTGGGTTTAATAATCTAGGGTAAGGTAAGAAAAGTAGGGGTACGAGTGATATAATGCCGGTGTAATAATGGGTGGTGCTGGGTGGATACATTTTCGGGGAAATCAAAACAATAACACCACTTAACAACATCATTAGTTTTGTTGGATTTGCTAAGTATTCTATTTTATGTTCAGTACCCTCTTCATGTTGTTTAGATGAAGTGGGTGTCGATGGCTCACTGCCAGCTGCCGCCTCAGCTCCTGCCTCTCCTCCCTCACCCTCTGCGCCGGCAGCAGCAAAAGCAGCTGCTGCTGCCCCTGCTCCTGGATCTTGTGCCTGTTGCTCCTTCTCTTTTTTCAGTCTGGCTTTACGTGCTGCCTTTGAATTGCAGATGTCACACTGTGTTTTGTTCCCTAGATTATTTTTCGAGTGTAATTTGTTGTTTGGTTTGGGTTTATTTGTTCATTGGAAGTGTTGGCCAAATGTTTTGTATATTTTGTTTATAGATTTAAGTTTGTGTTTTTTTTTTTTTTTTTTGGAAAATAAAATAGAAATATTTTTAAAGAAGGCTTGAGCAGCTAAATTATAACAAAAAAACGTTAAGATTTTTTTTGTTAATTTCTTGGTTAGTCACACGTTAGAAGAAGTTGTTCTTGAATTATAAAAAGAGCTGATTATTATGATTTTGTTTTTCTTATTTAAAGTTGGTTAATTATAGTTGTTTTAATTTATATTATTATTGTATATTAATTATTTATTATTTACTTTATTATCCTTGACGGTGATTATAACAATGAAAGCTGTAACCTTTTTGCGCAAAAGTGTAACAAAAAATAATATAAAATGTGTTTTTAAACTTAAAGTATTAAAACTGCTTCTGTACTTATTATTGATTTTCTTTATTTCCACCTAATTTAATACCTTTTTTATTACTTTTGAAAGGAACAACTTTTGAATATTAACAGAAAAATATAAAACTGAATTCAGCTTCATTTAACTTATGTATTTGTATGAGATGATGTTTCTCAGTCTGTTTTCAGTTTTAGTGAACAAATCGGATTATTAGTGAATACTCGAATTTTTAGAGAAATTTCGTATCTTTAGAGAATATCTGAAAAAACTAATTTTTTTAGGTGAAAAATTTGTTTTTGGAAATTTTTTTTCTTTTTAATAGAATCTGATTTCTATGTATTCAGATCCCTAAGCTATCAATCATTAAGTCAACATTTTATATTATTCTTGCCACCAAAACGATTACAACTTGTTAATAAAATGTTTATACAAGAAAAAGTATTTATAAACCTCACACTTTCTGGAGGTAAAACTTACAGAAATAAACAGCAATGGAACCAGATTCTTCAATTAAATTAATAAGTTTTTCGCCTTCAAGATCTTCGATAACATCTCCACTTGGATCCTTTTGCGTGAGTAACCAAGTGAGGATTTGTTCTTCTTCATAAAGATCTCCTAAAAAACATAAAATATTTAGTTATTATTCCAAATTGGTATAAAATTCATTAAAAATTTTGAAGAAATTTCCGAAATAAATCTTACCGGCGTAAATGACTGGTTCCTTAGAAGTCGGCTTAAAGAATACAATGGCGGGCAAAGCAAATACACCCATTTCCTTGGCCATTTGTTTATCATCGATTTTAACAAAGTCAATGCCCGCCTTATCGGCCTCATCGTCAATATGCTCTACCTCAGCTAAAACACGTGGACACTGCTTGCAATCTTCACTGTCTTTGGGGTTTAAAAACAAAAATAATATAGAATTAAAAACACATTAAAATAATTTAAAGTTCAGATTTAGTGATGACTTGAAGGCACTAAATAGTCGGCAATGGTCCTGCTAAAAATGTGTGGCCTTTACACAGAATTGGGGTTTTCGGCAATATTTCTTGTTCCCTTTAAAATTTGTGTACCCGAAAAACGAATTTCGGAGTACGAGCGATATTTTACCCCTTTCCCTTTACAAATTTATTGTACAGACTAACACTTGCTGCAATAAGAATAATGTGTTTAAACTCACGCCAAGGGGACCACAAGGTAGTCTAATCTGTCAGTGAAGAGTTCATGGGTTCGATTCTGACCTTAGACTCTGGTAAACGAGCGCACAACAGGCCCGTTTATCTCGTTTTAAACCTCGTGTAAACAAAGGTTTCTCCGTAAGTTAATCAAGTCTGTCAGTGTAGAGGTCATGCGTTCGATTCTGATCTGAGACTATGGTAAATAAGCGATCAACAGCCCTTATATTACATCAGTTAAATATAAATTCATCATGGGACTCGTCTAGATTAGGCCCTAAATGACATCGCCCTTTGTCTATAAAAACTTAGTCGAATACTTACAAAATATCACCGCTAGATAATCGGAAGATTTGCGTATTTTTTCAAACATTTTACGATTGACTTGTTCAATATGATCGGTCATTTCCATATTGGCAGGACTTGTTAGCCAATCCAAAACTTCTTCCTCATCATCAATGTCACCATCATAGTTAATATATTTTCCTTTGCGGAAATAGGTAATACCGGGTGGATTACGGAAACCATATTTCTTAGCCATTAATTTGTCATGACATTTCACAATCTGTATACCATATTCCGCGGCCTCATCATCGATCAACTCGATGTGACGTAAAACTCTTGGGGAATCGGGATCATCTTCTTTATCTGAAAGGGGGAAACAAACCATATAAAACGTAAAATTTGTTAAATATTAATTTTTTAATAACGGAAAGTTAAAAAAAGTTATAGAATTAAAAAAAAAAAAAAACAGTATAGAAAGTTAATTAATTTCTGAGCAGTTACAGTTTTTTTTCGATTTTTAGTAAAAATAACTAAGTAGTAAAAGAAACTATTTGAAAATCTAGTAATATTAAGTAGTAAAACGTTGTTACGAGTTCAATAAGTGGTAGAAACTTTTTTGTTGTAAATAGTAGAACGAAAACACGCTTAAAGTCTTGTGTTCATGTTTTGGTAGTTAAATTTCTTTCAGTGTAAATATTAATTGAAAAAAAGTTAAAATCGTTATTTAGTTGATTTTATGTTTACTTACAAAATACTACCGCCAAAAAGTCTTTCGAGCCGATATATTCAAATAAAGTTTCACGATCGATTAACTCAATACTTTCATCGGCTTTTTGTTCCAATATCCATTTGAATACCTCATTTTCATCTTCCATATTACCTAAAGTTTTTATATTAATATACAAAATTAAATTTATAAATTATTAAATGTTTAAAGATTTTTATTAATTTTATTAGATTTTTTTTTACTTCAAGACATACCTGTGGTACTGCAGTGTTTTTTTTTTATAAAAAATAAAATCAATCAAAATGTTGTTGTTTCAATTACACCCTGTATTAGTTTGGATTAATTATTAATTAATTATATTTAGTTTGATACAAAGGAATTGGATTTCCCGAAAACATTCAATTCAGATCTCAAATTGAGAATAATTAGACATCAAAACTTTTCTCAAATGTAAAAGTTGGAGAATAACTTTCCTTCTGATCTTCAATTTAAAATTGTTGCCCTTGAAGTGCATTTTTGTGATCTCTAAATAAAAATGTTGCATTATTTGATCTGATCTGATCACAAAGGCTTTTGTTTTTTAAAATGGCGTCAATTTTTTTGGAAAAAATATATTTTTTTAATTTCTTTTATAAATCAAAACTAATTATTCTAACACGATTTATTTAAAAAAACTAATTTATTTATAAATCTAAATATCGTCATCATACCTATTTTTTACAAATATAATCAAAGTCAGTGACATGCCTGATTGTTTCAGTTTTTTTTTTTATATTAAAATATATTTTGTTGTTGTTTTCCTTTTCTGACATTTGGCAAAATCTCAATACATTTCTCCACATTATTTCAGTTGTTAGTTGAGGGTGGGCGTATGTTTTTCTTCGTAACATTAACCTGTTCAATTCTTATTCAGGGTCTTATCTAGTATTTTTGTTGTTATATTTTGATTTCATTACTTTATTGTTGTGCTATAAACTCTATAAAATTTATTTCATCTTTTTGTATGTGTTTTGACTAAATCTATTTATAACATTTTTTTAAGATTTTAAAATCTTATTTTATTTTCCATTTAAACAATAACAATACCTGTTTGCCAAAAAAAAAATTTCTTTTAAAATAAACAAAAGAAAAACTTTATATAAAATATTTTGAATTATTTTCATTTTTACAATCTTTGTGTGGTTTCCAGCAAACGCATTAAATAAACAAGATTGTTTGTTTAAACATAAATAAAAAAAATGTATTACCTTATGATATGAAATCTTTAAAATGTTAAAAAAAAAAATAAAAAAAAAATGTGTTGAAAGAAAATAATTAAATTCCACAAGCTTAAGGTATTAATATTTTTTCTGAATTCTCCAAACATAACCCAAATGAAGACCGATCATTACTAAAAGGATTTGGCTCGTTAGAAACTTACTTATTTTGAAATTCATCCTTAGACTCGTGTTTTTAAGCCATTAATGAGCGTTAAAGTCATTTTCTGAAGGGGTCCTTAAATCGGGGGTAGAGCCAATAATGGACCGATTCTCCAAAAAAAAAATGGTAGAGAGATTTTGGCTCGCGAGGAACTTATTTGTGACGAATTTCATCACTATAGTGGTATTATTAAGCTAGTTGTGAGCGTTAAAGTAAATTTCTGAAGGGTACCTTATATGGGGGGTAGTAGAGTCAATTATGAGCCGATTCTCATAGAAGGCAGTAGAGAGATGATGGCTCGTAAGAAACTTACTTTTGTCAAATTTCATTGATATACTCGTATATTTTAGCCAGTAATGAGCGTTGAAGTCAACTTCTGAAATGGGTCATTTATGTGCTGCTAATAAAAAAACGGTAGAGAGATTTTGTCTCGCTATGTGTATCGAATTTCATCGCTATATTCGTATTTTTAGTCAGTAATGAGTGTTATAGTAATTTTTTGAAGGGGACTTTATACGGGGGTAGGGTCATTTATGGACCGATCCTCATAAAATTTGATGGTAGGATATGAAACTCATATGAAACTTATTTATGTTGAATTACATCGCTATACTCGTACTTTTAAAACAGTTATGCCCGTAAAAGCTGTTTTTTGGGGGACCTTGTATCCGAAAACGTGGACCGATATTGCCCTTTTTCAATACCAAACAAACCTTATCAATAAATAATATTTACGCAAATCAACTGTCTAGCTCCTCCCGTATGTTTCCTATCGTGATTTCAACAGACAGGCGGAAGGACATGGCTTAGTCGCCTTAGAATAAAAATCCAGCCTTAAACTTAAAAAATACTTAGTTTAGGTTTGGTGGGCTTTAATTCGTTAGGCCAATGTCTCAGATTCTCATTACTTACCACACTTTCATTTAAATAGAGTCATAATTTAGACAATTTTCCAATTGCCAATAAAGTTACGAGCACAAAAAATTCAACTATGGAGAATATTTCCTTGACTACGTCTGTTTCGAAATATCGATTATCGATCAAGAAGCAATTGCAAAACACTTATTATTCAACTCTGGAGAAAAGAAAATCCGTGTCTGGAGTTGGACTACTAATTGATATTAACAAATCCAGTGTATGAAAGTCAGATTAATAACTTCGTAAAAATTTATCATAGAAGGATAAAATTTATCATAAGAAGGATATCACAAATAAAAAACTGCTGGCTCTATTGAAGTTCAGAGTGCGCGCTGTAGTATTAAGACATAGTTCTCTTATTAGTAAAAAAACAATAAGGAGCGATTTGATACCCTCACGGTATCACTCAAGTCTGCTGGTTAACCGAGCAATCTTTTCCACGATATACTGGCTTAATGAGTTATTAAATTTTGATATAAATACATATGAGCATGGGGACTTGGGTCTGTTATGGACTTAAATATACATAGCATTTTATAACCCGATCCCTATGAAAACTAGTAAAGAGATTTGGTTTTCTTAATTAAGTTATGACCATTGTAGTCATTTCTGAAGATCCCCATTCAATGTATTTATTACTGTTAAAACAGTATTTCGGGGGAAATTTTTATAGGGAATAGATGTAAACGTTGACCAACCCTATACCACCTATCTTTTGGGCACCATAGTGCTTTTGACAGACGTGGGTTAGTTGTAAAGTACGATATAAATTGCATAGTTTATATACAAGATGATTTTGGTGGTTTTGATTTACTCAGATAATATCTCGAAAAACTTAATGACAATATTTTTGTAGATTATATCTAAATGGACCCAAAATTAATTTTATGACATATTTGCATGATTTTTTGTTAATAGTGGTCTCAAACAATTCCAACTTGTTTTTGATCTGAGGGAACATGCTTAAAAGTGGGAACTCATCATACAAAAGTCATCAAGGCAAGCGCGTAAGCAAATTTTCGGATCTTAGGGAGTATATATAACTTATGATTTAGTACAGTGAATTCGGTTTTGGCCTAACTTTGAAAATGAGGTCTGAAAATTGAGTTTGTTTTGAACACTAATGGTACGTTATCATATTTTTAATTTCTCGCTTATTCTGATGTTCATAATCCACTCCCAAAAAGGCTCGAATTTTTATTGGGCATTGAGATTATCTATTATTTTTCTTGGGGGAACAAAGGGATTAACATAATAAACCCAAGTATGTCCTTAGTTTTGACCTAACTTTGTGGGGGTATGAATAAAGAATCATTATAATCATGCAAAGATTTACAAATAACAAGAAGCATTACTAAACTACTTCTAAGTAATGCATGTAGGATATAGTTAACATTATAAATTACTGCAGCAATGTCAAAGCTTTAAGCTGGTATTAGGATTTAATAACTACAGTTAATAGCCCCAGTTATTCCAAAATATTCTATAATACCTCTATAGCAAAAGACATAATCAGGAACAAAATAAAAATTGGACCAACAAACATACTAGGGGAAAAATAATGCACTCCAAAAAAGCCATTGAATAATTATATTTTCAATGTTTTGTTCTTTAAATAAATTTACAATTTAGTAAATATCCATTATGACAATTCTTTTAGTTTATACAAAAATTTATTTCAAAATTTTAACTTTTATTTTTAAAAATTTAAATTTAACATGACTTTATTCTCTTTATAATTATAAAACAATTCTAAAGATTTATTAAAAAGAGATATATATATTAAACAGTTTCTTTTTTTAACTAAAAATGACTTTATTATTTTTTTTAAATTAACAAAATTTTCCATTTAATTGAATAAAGTCTTACAAATATATTTAATTATAAAAAGCCTTAAAAGCTTATTTACACTCAAAGAAATAGTTTTAACAATAGCGTTACGTTGTTTTCCTACTTATATAATTATAGTTTTTATTCTTTGAGTGTATTACAAAGTTTTTTTTTTATATTTATATAAAATTTTAATTCGATATTTTAAATATCGATAACAATTATTAAGTATTTTTTTTTGGTGTAAATATAAAAATGTAAAACTTTAAAAATTTTATTTAATTTACCAAGGAATTTTAAAATTAGTTACAACTAATTTTTGTTTTGAATAGTTTGTTTTCAAAATGGTTTCCATGCTTTTAAATAAAATTATTAAATGTATTTACATTTTTATTTTTAATATTTATATATTCAAATTATAGAATAATTAACTAAAAACAAATTTAAGATCCTTTAAAAAGCTAAGAATTATAAAAAATTTAAGCAAACCTAAGTTTGTTAAATTTTTTATAATTTTATTGTATTTGTTTAATTCACAATTGTTATCGTACGATACAACGCTACAACAATGATTGTGAATTGAACAATTTGATTTTAAATAGATCTTTAACAAAAACATATTTATAGTTTAATAAAAAATAATAATAAATTAACTAAAAATTAAATAATGTCTGGTTTCTTTTAAAAAAAAAAGTAACATGAACAAAATTTTACAAAAATTAATAAAAAAAGAAAATATATATTTTTAATTAAAACAAAATATATGCACGTTTTAAGCGAGTTTTAACGAGATTTAAAGTTGTGTAAATATTTAGTAAAATGAAAAAGTAGTATCAAATAGTAGTAGTATTTAGTTACAGTGTAGTAAATAGTATCAAAAAAAAAGTAGTGTAAATTATTTATATCAAAAATAGTTTGCAAAAAGAAGAAAAACAATTGTCCAATTCACAATCAGTATCATAGTGTTGTATGTTTTTGTTGCGAAA